CGGCCCGCGCGTCCTGCCGGAGCTCCTGCCTCGGCAGCGCTGGGCGAACCGGAGACAGAGAAAGCGTTTATTAAAGATTTCCCGCCTCCGGTGCTGTAATTACAGCCCCTCTGGGTCGCTGAACAAACTTGAGAGAACACAAAGGTGTCCTTTAGAGATGAGGATTGCCTAAGTTAATGATGAAATGCTAATTAATGACAATAGCATAGGCGGGTTACTTAAGAAATAGGTCGGTGAGGTGGCAGATAATCTACAGGTGTTGCAGATTTTATCATGGCTGTTGATAGGGCCACAAGGCTCCGGTGAGTGCGGGCTGCTGAGCCGGGTGCTTATCTCTGCCTGTGCAGCCCGGCTGTCCTGGCAGGGAGGATCCTGGTCCCCGCGATCTGCTCCGCCGCTCAGCCCGCACCACGAAATGAGTGCTGAGCCTGACCCAGACTGCTGGCAATGCATCCCCTTCTCTATCTGGGATACCCACCGTTGGGCCAATCCTTGCAAAAACTGACAATCCTGACCTATGGGAACATCTGGGATTCACTTTGTAGCATCATTTTAAAGATGGAGAGGAATTGGGATTTAAGTGGAGATGAAGATTTGATGCCAACCCCAGGTGCTTTCTGCTGTGAATTTACCTTGATGCACCAGAATGCTTTGGATTTCCACTAAGGAAAGGATGTGAAAACTGGAATCATGTTAAAGTAGAACAGATGAGATGATTTTTTCCATCAGGGAATGCAAAAACACTTAACAAACCGAGTCCCATACAAAAGACTTAGGAAGATAGGTTATCAGTCTTCAAATATGTAAAAGACTGCTAGAGAGTGAAAGGAAGCAATCAGTCTGCCCTTCATGTCCCAGCTAGGCTGGTGAGAAGTAATGAGCTCAAACTGCAAGATATAAGTTCAGTATTAGCATTAGACTACTTTCTAATGGCAGTGAAAATGAAAAACTGTTGTAGTCTGCCTAAGTAGAGAACAAAGTCACCTTCATTAGACAGCGTTAAGAACGGACAACATACATCTATCAGACATACCATTATAAGCAGTTCTGCTCAGGGCAAGGTAATGGGCTAGATGACCTGCTCAGATTAATTCCAACTTTTCCTCTGTGACATGAAGTATCTCACACTGTTGAAGCCTACTCAGTTGTCACACAGGACCTACTTTCATGATTGGCTTTTGCCACTGACTGGCACTGACCGACTCTTTGGAAGTCCTGAAATGGATTGCTGGGATCCAAGTGATGACTGATACTTTGATAATCAACTATCAATGTTGATTTATTTGTTCATTTCTTCCTCAGATGTTTGTTACATATGTGAAATAAAATCCCATGAATACTGATAAAGCTCTTACCCTCTTTCAAACCTCTTCTAGGGACCTCATGATACTTCAACATGGTACCTTTCCATTAAGTAAGCAATTTGCAGGAAGTTCTTCAGGGAGCAGGCTGTACTGCACAAGCAGTGGGACTTGGGCTCAGTTCCTTACCTCACATGCAATATTGGTGCTTCTTTGAGTCATAGCTCCCCATATATAAACCAGGGGTAACAGTATCTCCCTAAAGAGACTGGTCTGAAGATAAACACACTGTGTGGACTGTGTGACAACAAAGGACCAACCCCAGTAATGCCTACTGATGAGAAACAGTTCATAAAAGCCACCCAGGTGTTATTACTGTTTGTTTCGCTTTTATTCTCACCATTGTTAATTGATTTTATGCCCTTTGTGTACTTTGTCTAGAAAATAGCTTGCAATTTTCCTGGGGCAGTGATTGCACTAGTTGCAATGGGATCTCAGCCTTAAGTTAGGTTTCTGGTATTAGTGCAACATAAACAGCTGTTGTGGCAGTTTGATAGTTTGGTTATGGAGGTAAATTTCCCTCCAGTGAATAATTTGTATACAGGTTTCTGGATTAATTCATGCATACCCACATTTAGCTGTCTGCTGCTGTGGAGGCAGTCTGTAGGGAACAAACACGGTTCTTGACTGAATTTCCACTCACATTGTTTACTGAAGTTCTGGATATAGCTGGAGGGACTTTCAGTCACAGTTATCTAAAACTTTCCACACTGCTGAATGCTGCCAAATGGATACTAAATCCCCTGTAGTAGGCTTCAGATTTTCCTAGAATGTTTCCTTGTATTGCAGTCACTTGTAAGAAACAATAGTGAGCCTGTTGGTCATTTATTTGATCCTAATTGTTGAGTTTCACAGTAAAAAATTGACCTCAACTAGAATCTGATAAATAATATTTGTCATCACCTCACAACTTATTTCTCAAAAAAGTTCCAAATTAGTTTTAAAGTATGTGTGTGAATGAAGATTTAACTGGGGATGCTAGAGACATAGGGGTATGATTTGGAAACTATTGAGAGCCTTGTCTTTTGCAAAGCAGAGGAATATCTAAGTCACACCTTGTTTTTGTGCAACAGGAGTCTTTTCTTACAATAAGAATGCTAAGCTCCTACCAGTGCTCTGCATGCAATCTCTGCTTCCCTTGGAAGGATGGCAATCTTCATAAAAAGCAGCAGTCACATAATGTGCTATCAGATTGTGAGGTCACTGCTTCTCATTTGCTGAAGTGAACCACTGGCAAGTTTTCAAAAACTATATCTAATTTAGCCATGTAATTCATTCTGGTAAGTAGTAGTGCTGAGAAGAAAACTTAGGGAACAGGATTTTGAAAGTAATATGTTGTGACACAGAAGAAAACTATATCAGTAAAAATACCAGCAGATCTACAATGCAGTAGTTGGAAGTATTCTAATTGTTGTTGAGCCAAAGCAGCAGCCTTTGCTATTCCATGAGCTGTCCTGCCCACAAAACCGAGTGCATCTGTAAACATAAGTGAGTGCCAGCACAGTGTGACACCTCGTGTCAACAAAGGTCTGCGTTTCCAGAATTCTGCACATGGGCATTTTCAGGAAACACAATTTTAAAGCCAGTTTACAGTGTAATACAAAATAAAGTTGCCAAAGTACTGTAAACTTTCAGAGAGGTATTCAAAACAAGGTGTCTCAGAGTTCCATTACAGAGTGGTCCCATGGGAGACCACAGAGGGAGCATGTTCTCAGGACAAACACCACACTCCTAGGCAACCTACACTCAGGCTGTGCAAAGAAAAGACTCTTCTGATAAATCTTCTTGCCTTGAGTGGAGTCCTGCAACAGGTTGTAGAGAATCACCGAATGTAGCATGAGAGTCCTTGAGATGCAGGTATCAGATGCAGAAAATTAATTGATGGCAAGTAGCAACTATACAAACACCTGAGAGAAAGTACAGTGTTCAACCTAAACTGTGGTAAGAATTTTGAAACATTTCAAAGAAGTTTTATTGAAACATGAGAAAGTTCCCAGTCCTGGCAGGAAGTGCAGTGCTGTGGTACATGTCTGTGCTATTGCTATACTGACTAAATAGCAGAAAAAGTTGTGGGATTCTTTTTGTTTATTTTTTCTTTTAAAATGACACCGCTTTGAGCTATTAATTCACCTCAGTGCTTCTGAAGGCAACAGAAGAACATTATCATAATACTAGGCTTTGAGAAAATAGACATAAAGAAGCCTTTGCTTTCTAGATAAATGAAAAAGTAGAAACTAATTTTTTCAAGACTCTTCATTTCATGGTGCTGCTTGAAAGGTTTAAACAGAAGGAAACACCTATTGAATAAGGCGTGTTCCAGGCGTTCTTGCTCTCTCCAGTTCAACCACTATTAAGATGTGATTGACACAAATGTATTAGAACACCTTTTTGTTCTGTACCCCTGTACAAAATGACACCGCCTACAGAAGAGGTGGGGTTTTGCCTGCCCTAGGTTTAGGATGGGTGTGGGACATCCACAGCTGAATCATGGACTCAGAAGAAGCTGTTGAGGCAATAAAAGGGGGGAAAAGGCATAAGCCCTGAAGATAACCTCTGGATTAGTCATTTTTTCACCACAGGGGGAAAAAACAACAAAACAAGCCTATACACATTTATTAACATGTCATTCAACACCAAGTAATTCATGCTCTGGGAGGAGTTTGTTGATATGGAATGGCCCAAGAAGTTTCCCTAAAGTAGCCAATTTCTCTAAGACCTACTTAGGCATTGTGTCACTTTTACAATGTCAGCAGAGTCCCTGGGGAAAGGCACTGCATTCATCCCTCAGTCCATCCATGCACTACCAGCTTACAGCACTATGAGCTCAGCTTGGCAGCCTCAGTGCCACAGAAGAAGAAAGGCCCAGGTCTCAGAGCTCAGAGATACAAAGCAGCCTGCAGGACCTCAAGCCATTGGCAAGGATCAGCCTGGATTTGAAAGGTTACACAAGGATAGGAGTGATAATAGGGAAAAAATATAAGACAGAGCATTGGCCATGAATGAAACCTCTAATTTAGGGATCTCTGACCAGAAGCTGACCTTTTTTATACAGAAAACGTTAGTGGGCAGTATGTTCTGTCTTTAAACATACAAGAAATGCAGATGTTTTTGTACATGGTGGTCAACTCTCTCCTAATAAAGAGAGAAAATGTAAAAGGAGCTCAACTATTTCAGCTTTCAGTCAACAAGATGATCTGAAGTCTTAGAAATGCCAGAACTTAAAAGTAAATATGTATCTGAACAAGAGATGTTCTCTGAGAATCAAACTAAGTTCTTGTCCATGGTATATTTAAAAGTGTATCTAGACTCCCCAGTGAAACTGCTGTAACTCCACTAAGCCTTCCACTGGTGCTCCAAAGCAGAGTTATCAGTGAAATATTTTTACTATTGCTGTACTTAGTAACTTCAGACCTGAATTTTCTGTATACCAGTTCTGCGTGGAAGAAAAATACTTTCTAAATTGTTATCTGTATGCACAGATAAGTTTGTGCATCCCTCTGTTCAAAGCTGACAAAGCTTCCATTTGCCTCAGCAAATGGAATGAGATGCATCTGTTTCTTCTGATTACTTCTGGTAGTCAAACCAGTTGTGCTCTGTCACTGGTAGCAATAGTGGCAGTGTGTTTATCAATATACATACTTTGCAGGTGCACAGTGAACTCATTTCACCTTCTTCATTCTACTGGAAGGACAGTCCTGCTGCATCCAAAAAACTAAGGGAAGAGAGAGAAGCTTCAGAGAAAACTGCATAGAGGTATATAGCCCTGCCAGTTTCAACTCTTCCACAGTGTATGTCAAAAGCTTGTCAAGAGAAAAATCTTTCATATTTACTTTTTGAGGCAATTCTGTAAAACCAAACATAGTTACCATAGATGTCCTCTCATGGCTTGGTCAGTGAAGTTAAGCATAATTTGACATTTACAGACAATTAGCATACAAGGTACATATCCCAAAGGAGCTCAAGTGCACACTCCTTTTTTACTGCCCCAAGACTTTTCCCACTTCCCCTTTTTTAAGAGAGCTGTCAGTTAAAGTGAAATGTAACTGCCTAGCATGACAAGGGAGCTTCTGTAGAAACTATTTGCATCTATACTCTCCTGCCTGTTGCAACTCCAGTTCACCTGCATTTTGTCTTGATGACATTATCTCATGACTATTCTCAGTTCTCCATACTGTAAAATAGATTATATTACAGCACTCTGCTGAAATATCCAGTCTAATAATATAGTTATTAGACTACATTAATTAATACCCAATCTAATAATGTAGTTTGATGCACTACATGTGTTACATTAAAATTCTCCCAATCTCCTGCAATTTCTCAGAATTTACAGGAGAAAGAAGAAACTACATAATAATGACATTTGCTTAATTCTGTACTTTCCTTGTTCATGTGCCTAGAAGTATTGGTTCTAATAACTATTGTTACTCCTAAGGGTGTATAACATATAAACTGTATTGTGAAAGAGACTGTTGCTTGTGTTTTACTTAGAAGCTCAATCTTTTTATATACTTTTGAGAAGATTTTAAGTATGACAAGAGGTCTACAATTTCTGGGTGAGAACAACTTCTCAGGAGGAGGCTAAATACAAGGGTATGAAGAGGGCTGATTGTGCTTGAATGCAGTTTAAGTCAGTTGAATTTTTACTCGCTTAATTAAAATAAGAAAAAGGTGTTAATAAAAAGCCTAGTATATTTGTACTGTTCTTGACTGAATCTTTTACAGAGTTCTTTACAGCTGAACAGGATCGTTTATCAGATGACTTGGCAGAAATGTTTGACGTATTTCAGTTAAAACTCTAACACTTAACTGTTGTAGCTGACTCACAAAAACCCTTTCCTGGATCAGATAGCCAGGCAACTTAAGAAACAAATCAGCTATTGCAAATTCTTGGAGTTCAAAGAGAAGGAAATTTTCTTCTAGTGATTATTACATTTTAAGACAATTCCCTACGTATGCTCTGGTGAAAACCAAGGTATGCAACATCAGACACACAATTGAGCAATGTAATTGTGTAAACACCATGTTTGGGACAGGCAGAGTGTTTGAACAGACTGTGCAAAAACTGTTCCCAAAAGAAAGCTGACAAATAAGTGACTCTTTAAAATGAACAAAACTCACCCTAGGTGTTTCTACTTCTAGGGTTCCCTTCACGTGGTGCCATTGGTTTGGTCACTTTTCATGTGGAACAGTGTCCTTTCCCTTGCTTAAAACAATAGGTTTTCATGATCTTGAGGGAACTAGATGTCAGAAAAGAATAAAATATCTACATCTTAGATTAAGCCTTTCTCAATAATTATCATATCATATCATATCATATCATATCATAGCATTTGATAGTTATCTCCCCCACAATAGTAAAATTGTCCTGTAAAGGTAGCTACTAATGGAAAGTCAAGATTATATAACTAAAAAGAGGAAATTTTATTAAACATCTGAATTTCCAGATGCTTTGTGAAAATGGAAGGTAGTTTACAATGGAGGCATCTATATTTGTTCTGATATGTGCAGGCACTCATATCCTTTTTATAAATCAGATGCACAGTTTTTTAACATACAGCTAAGAGTGAAGACTATCACTGTCATTTAAGGTCTGATGGGGAAATGGGTTAGGCTGACTCCTGATGTTCTGCAGATTTGCAGTTTATGCACTAAACTACTTTAAGATATGCTTATCCAAATAGCCACTTTCTCCTGTCCCCTGAATTTGTATCCTTTTTCAGCCTTGAGTGCTATTCATTTCCTTCTTAGTCTGTTCCCCCAAAGTTTCCTGTGCTTCCTTCTAATTTGGCTCAAATTCCCTGTGGACTGCCAAAACAGAGGTTTTACATACAGGCTCTCCCTGTATGTACTGAAGAAATGTAGGAGAGTAATACAATCCATTTTGAGACATGCCTCAGAATGAAGAGATTCAGGAATACATGCAAAGCTAATGAGAACAGATTAGATGAGAGTCATGCAGAGTGTGGACAAACACACCTGGTGGTATTAGGCATTTAATGGTCCCTTCATGTGCTGTACCAAGAGGGAATTGAGCACCCTAAGCAATTACATGGCAAGATAATGGAGGCAAACTGAACATCTAGAAATGGCTTTTTTTGAGCTTGCCACAGAAAGCTTTGGCAGGAGCCTACCAATGCCATGAACATAGGATATTCTGTTTCCTTGTACCGTGTTTCTTTTGTACCTCTCCTGTCACTCAAGGTATGGAGAAATGGGAAGGAGGAATTGCAGTCAGCTAAAGAGCAACCAGAGTCACAGAGCTGTGAACAGGAAACCTAAACACAAGCTAGTGAGCACCATCCACCATCTGGTGTTGCACTGGTGGTCAACCACAGCAGAAAATTAGTGATTTAATGGTTTACAGCTAAATTATCATTATGCCAGTACTAGACCATTTGCATTTTGTTTGGGGCAGAAGCACGCAGCTTCCATAACTTACTCTCCTTTTCCTTGGAACTGGATCTAAGTTGTTCAGTTCTGCCCCTTCTGAGCTCAAAAAACACAAAAGGAGAAGACAGACTGAATTCTGAATAATAAGATCAGGTAGTAAATCAAAGAAGTTTGAACAAATGTAGCTAATTCTGCCATTATGTGAAACAAAATAAATGTTGATTCAACTCTAGTTTAGGCTGGGACAGTCCAAGGCAGCTGAACAGAATATTTGAATGAGTAAAAGCAACATTTCTGCTCTGATGCAAATCCGTTGCTGTTCTGAAAATACAGTTTTAACATCATAATGCTGATGAAAAGGGTTGATTTTCAGGATTTTTCAAATTACCACACAGTACATTAAGAGAAATGAGGGGCAATTTATCTGAATATGCAAGGCCATAAACTGGAGCAGTTCAGCAGCTGCTCCACAGGCAGCTAAACTGTCTTTGTGATGAGAGAGACCCTCATGGAGAAGAGTGAAGTGGACACTCATGGGTAGGAACCACTAAAAAGCATCATTACCAATAAGTAAGCAAGCACTGCTAAGGCAGACAGAACAGTGAGAGTTACCAACAGGCAGCCTGGCCGTCTGTCTCCCTTTCCTTTTTAGAAATATTGGTTATTTGTTGATTTTAACTTTTTAAAATGCTGTTTCCTTCCTGATGATCATATGATTTGTATTCACCTGCATATTTGATTTGTGCCTTGTAGAAGTTTAATTAAGTATGTACAATTAATGACTGGCATCAGCTTATCCTGTGGAAGTGGCAGCAGCAGGACACCTTAAATGCTCCTGCTGCCGCTGCCTTGCCAGACCTGAGGACTCCAGTCTCGGGCACTGTCAAGCCAATGCTGTTCTCCAGTGCTTTGTTTCAATAGAGAAATGTGGCACATACAAGGGACAACAAAGGCAGCTCCTTTTTTGAAGAACACAAAATAGATTAAGCTGGTCTCAGCTGAAAAGGATGCCATCAATTTAGACAGCAGCCTGCTCTTTCAGCTGAAAACACGGGAAATGGAGCAGCACAAATGGGTGAACTGCTTGATTCTCCAAAATATTTGTGAGATAATTAATCTCTGCTGCTTGCTTTGTTTGATAGGGGACCAGCTTACTGCTCCATTACATGCAGTGATGTCGCTGAAGAAGGTAGACATTTTCAAATGAGAGAAAAACTAAATTTATTTTCTCTTTAACACAACATTCTTTGTGTGTTGAGAAGTGAAAAAACAAGCTGTCCTTGTGTTCATGGCTTCTCAGCACTGCAGGACTGGAAGTTTAGGGGCAAAGGAACAGTTGTAAAATAGAAAGTGGGGGCTAAGAAAGCAGTGCCAGACTTTGAGGGAGAAAGTACTACTGTAAATATACCTAATGACTAGGCATAAAAAGAGGTACTAAGTAATTCCTCATGCCCTTGTGAGCTGAAAGCAGCTTGGTGAGAAACCTCAGGGCAATCATTCCCAAGCTTGCTGGAACATCAGGACTCTGGAATAATAGTGTTGGCTCCCATGCTAGAGCACTCCCTCCTGGCCTATGGATGCACTAGTTTTAAGAGGGCAGTTAAGGAAAATAGTACAACCTTGTGACTGAAGGGAGAATAAAACCATGATAATAAATTCAACAGAGGGAGAGTTAGAAAATTAAGACATTTATCATAACAATTACCTTGCTGTGACAATGGTAGCACTTGCTTGGACATCTTGGTAGAAAGCAAGTGCTCTTGGGACAAGAGCATTAGAATTGCCTTACTCCAATTAAAATGGCAAGTTTCATCTGGAATGGACAGTGTGACTCCTGGTACACAGGAAAGCAAGACAGAGCTAAAATTACTGGTTTTGAGCCCCTAATTTGAGTTTTTCTTCTGTGTTTGAATTTTTCCTTAAATGGCTAGAAATCATTTCTGTCTTATGCCTCCAGTAAGATGTTTAAATTCCTCATTCAGTGCTCAGTACATCATTCAAATTCTCCAACTCTCAGAGCAGAAAGCACTGCTTTTGAATCTTCAGGGGCTTTTACGGAAAGCTTTTTAGCAATTAGTTTGTAATCAACTGAATTGTGTATTTATATATCAGCAAAGTATCTTCTAAACACTTTTGTTATAGTATCTAAATACATTTTACTGCAGCTTCTAAGCAGTTTCTAAGAGCCATTAAAAATTAAAAAGGAAGAATTATTTGCCTCAGATTTATTTTCCGGGTGATACTGTGTATCCCAGGGTTGCCAAGTGTTCCTGCCTTCCATTGCTCTTACTTGACTTGTATGGCATTGTTGGCTGTGTTAAAACAGCCAAACTGGATCCTTATGCCTTGTCAATCTTACTTGAGATTTGAGTCACTTATGTGTTGAGTGGGTTTAAAAGAAAATACTTCCAAGTTTGGTTGTTTTTTTTTTTTCCCAGTCAACTCTTGATTTCTCACTCTATCTTACCTTGTACATTGCTCCCAAGATTCTTCAGAATGTCCCAAGTGTTGGAACAAGACTCAGAGCCAGCTGCACAAGCATCCCTGAGACTTCTGGAGTGCTGACCTGTAATGAGCTGATTTTAATCAGTGCCTCTGTGGCAAGTTATGTCCTCAGCCCTGCAAATCCCTGGAGCAGGTCTCAGCACAGGGCCAGCAGTAGGTCCTGGAGTCCCCAGCTTCCACAGACATCCCCATCTCACATCCTGAAACACAGAGGCTGAAGCTGGACCCTGGGACCTGGTGACATCTTTTCATTTACCTACCGCATCTGGGAACAACAATTATCTTAGACAGCATCTCTGTGTGAAGGCCATTTGAGATTCTATGATACTGAGTTCTGATCTAAGGAGATCTGGAAAGTTGAGCAGGGTGGATTAACAAAGCATTTTCTGATCTGTCACAGCCTACATGTGTCATTGGCAAAGGACTGGGATGTGCTGTTTGTGACCTTTGCCTCCAAATCCACCAAAGCCCAGCCTTCCTTTTACCCAGCAGATGGGCAGCTGCTCTTGCTAACAGAAATAAACCTAAACAGAGGCTTCCTCAATAATGTTTATAGCCCTGCAGATGGACATTTTAAAGGAAAGGCAGCTTTGTTAAAACATAAAACAAAAACCAATGAAACTTTAAATTCAAGACCTGTTACTCTGTGCTCAGTGGCAGAGTTCCTTTTTCTTCAGACAAGTATGCTTGAGCAATAAAGTACATGCACAGCCTCTGGGAAATGTAGTGTGTGCTCTAGGGATGTGGAGTAGTTTACTTCTACCAGGAGAGCCAAGACTGCAATAAAAGACATGGTAGGCTTTGTACCCCTGGAAAAGCTTAGAAATATTAAGCTTAATTACAGGATAAAATATAAAGAAATGCTTTGAAGTTTTGTTCAGCCCTATCTGCCCTTCCCTGATGCTGTCCTTTCTCTGAGTGTTCTTTGATCTTTAAAGGACATTGTTGGTTTAGCTGGACCCAGCTGCACACAGTGGTTGCAATTTTGCCTAATGCTTGTGACTTTGGGTGGTCAGAGGGCACTCTTAGATGGGAATGTGAAAGTCTAAACTTGAGCTGGTTTTTTCTCCATAGTTCACATTTAGGATTCCACCAGCAGCTTACTCATGGTACTGCAGCATGTAGTAACTCATCCAGAGGGGATAGGTTCAATTCACATACTTAGAATTATTCCTAATATTTTGTCTCCCACCATCTACTTCTGCTGCTATGTAGTACCAAAATGTGCCAGCTGATGGACAGGCATATTCTAGCATCAGTGAAAGTCTGACAGTGACAAAATGAACCAGCTAATGGAAAGCAAACTGGAAACGGAAACAGTAAACTTTCATCCATTGCTAGGACACTATGCAGTCTAACACAGTATGGCAGCTGTTGGCAGATACTCAAAAGCTGGAGCATGGCGTGCTTGAGAGGCTTGGACTGACCAGTCACAGGCTGTGTCAGCCAACATCTCCAGGAACTGAGAACACAAAAGACATCAGTTCTCTTCCCAGACCTGCTCTGTTTGCAGTAGTTTTCCCTCTTCTGCTTTTCCTGTAACTATTACAGCCAGTGCTATTCAGTCACCAGGGAGGTAAATTCACACCACATCAAAGGTTATAGTAGAAGAAAACAGTTTCCTGCTTAATTTTATCTAACTTCTAGCAATATTGGAGTTACTGTTTTTTCATTCCTCATATGTAGCCAATTAGCTTTTTCTATCTGAAAATCTCTTGGATAATAACACAGCAAAGGATATAAAGTAAGGAAGTATGATTTTCCACTAAAAACAAAGAAAACTGGCAGGAATCTTATGTGCAGATAAAGTAAATAAAATAGCATTAACAATCTTAGCGAAGCATTCCAGATTTTGAAATTGCAAAGCCCTTTTCAACAAGCTTATATGTTACTTAAACACTGTGTTGTGCAAACAGTTTTAATGTTCTCCTGTTACTGAGCAGGAGGTTATGCAACCAGGCCGCAAGACACACGTTGCTTTTTGAAGACAAGTTCATAAAGCAGTAAGGTATTAGAAAAGTATTGTTACAGAAGCAAAAGCTCTTTCAAGTCTGAGGTTCTTTAAACTCTGTGTCATTGTATATTATGCATGTAAGGCATAAAAAAACGACCTTGGGAGACAGAAGCCCTGCCTGCCTCAGACAATAATGGGTGCCTCAAGTGTTTTGCCTTTCAGAGGTGGCAAATAATACTCTAAGTTCATGTACACAAATGTGTGTACACACTTGGCTAAGAAATTCCAAACAGGTGGAAAGAAAAATTTTTGGCATGGAAAGCCATTAAGTGAGGCAAATGTCTGAGCGGGTAAGGCTGAGAGTGCTTCTGTCCCCTGCTAATGTTCTCTGCCCTTTTACCTTGGCATCTATTACCTTGATAGGCTTTCACTATTTTCTGTCCTGCCCCAGGTGTCTCTAAGATTAGTATTTGATTTTGCACCTTTTTTCCTATCTTGCTCCCTATGCTTGTTTCAGGCAACAATAACTGCATGGAGTAAATCTTTGGGGTTTTATAGAGCCATTGTTGAAAACTGTTTGAGACTGCTCCTACACACCTGCAACAATAAACAACAGAAGCTAAAATTAATAAAAACATAACAAAAAGGCAGAGCTAAATGTCATATACAGTGAAAGCAATTGGAAGTATGAAGGTATGAAAAGGCTTCTTTGATTAGCATGTTATGAAGGAATGATCATTTTTAAAGAAAGAGCATGCAGTACTTATTTCATCCATTAAAATGTCATTGGTTTTGTGTTTTGAATCTAGTTTTGAATAAACACTGTGGGGCAGAAATGTTAGATTGACTTTCTTCATTTTGTAAATACATGTCACTTTAGGTCCTCTTGCAACCAGGTGCCCAGTCCTCTGGGGAGAACTGGAGCAGACTCAGTGATGATCCAGTTATGTTTGAACCATGGTTGCTCCAAGGGGAGAGATTCCAGCTAAAAATATATGTCTTCACTCTTTTCTGACATACGCCCTTTGGCAGAAGAGAAGCATTTGGCACAGAACTGCTCTGGGAACCCCACACCAGCTCAGAGGTTGCCTTGCAACAGAGCCACACCTTGGAGTCCATATTGGACCTTATTGCTGGAAAAGAGAGTGGCTTGGCTGTAGCAGAATTTTCTCTGTAGCCTTCTTTTTTTTCCCCACTGGGTTACCCACAAATCATTAATTAAAAGGAATAGATCCTTAGAACAGATGGATTTAGAGTTATCAATCAGACTTGCTATTTTAATGACTATTTTATATTTTACAAGAAAGAGAAGGAAATTGCAGTAAAGATCCTTTGATAACCTTGCTGATTCCACTCATATAGCTATCTCCTATTTTGTGAAAAGCTCTATGTATATTGTGCATTTTTATATTATCTAGAATTTCAGGACACAAGATGGCAGTGTACATATTAGTGATTCAGGCTTGGAAATGGTTCTGCTATTTAAATGAAGCATATAACATTTTATTTAAGCCTATATTAATCTGATAATGGAATTGTGGTATTAGAAATAAACCTAAAAGTATTTGTCAACAACAGAAACAAATGCAATTTGCCAATAAATCAGTATTGCATGAACAAGTGTTAGGTAAAGCTTAATTCAGGATTTTATTGTACACAACAACACTCTGGAGACATTAAAAGCCTCTTATGGAACTCCTCAATTGCAATAACAAGAGGGTATCCCTTTATGAAGGAATGGAAGCTGGCTCAGTCATAAGAGCTTCTGAGCAAAATTGGCTGCTGGGGAAAAGCACATAAGAGAGCTGGCAGCCTGAAATATGTGGAGAGCTCAGGGCTCTCGGAGGAGTAGTGCAGACCACTGAAGTGGAACAGGCTGAACAGTATCTAAAATTGAACAGGTGCCTTTCTGTGAAAAAACTAACAAAGCAGACAACTGTTTGGCATGACAATTGAGAGAAAAAACATTTTCACTGAGAGGCATCAAATTAGAGGATAGGTCTCTGGCTGAGGAGAAAATTGCTTAAAGACCTGCAAGGAGTTGGACCTTTCCATGTGTAACTTCAGAGGAAGTTCATTCAGAGCCTCTCTGGGCACCAGTGGGTAAAGAGAACTGCAGTAATGAGCTTTCAAGGCCACTACCCAGAAACCTCTTTGGTTGGGTTGAGTTGAATACTAGAATTAGTAGGTGTAGCTAAAAAGTTGTTTTGGCTGCCTTTCCTATCATTTGGTTATGCAAACATGGCCTTGCTACATAGTAAAAAGAGCTCTAAGAAAAACAGTAATATTTCAGAGTATAAAATAATCCTCAAAGTCATTATCCCTGTGGGATTTCTAATGCTGACAAAATTCTAGGCACTCCTCCTTTCTCCTGGGGAATGTTCAGGTGACTGCCTCCCTGTACCTAAACTCGTGGCTCTAATGGGCAAGTCAGATTGACCCAGGAGATGCAAACTCAACACCAAGGTTCATTATTTCTGGATACAGCTCTTAATTTGACAGAGTTATTAGGAATTAGATCATGAAAAAAAAAAATATACTTCTCTCAGACAGGTGTGATATAATTATTTCTGGTTTTCTCTCCAGAATGGGAATATTTGTTATCCTCTGTTGTACTGCATCATGGAAATCCTCCCAGTGTGAGTGGAGATGGGTGTACTGAACTTGACCAGTGTTTTTGACAGAAGGTAGAATGTGGGGAATCCTGGTCCCTGAGTCTACTTTTCTTGTAGTCCATTATCTAGGTGTAAAAGTATCACCATGTTCCCAACCCCTCCAATGAAAAGTTGTCAGATTTTTCATGGTGGTCCACTCCTTTTGTTACAATTGGCTGATTGCTGCTTGTTATGGCCTTATTTCCCACGCATAAATCACTGAGTTAATACCAGGACTACTTCTCCCTCTCCCTTTCTGGTTTGCATAAGATTGAATTTGGCATTGATTCAAATCAAATAATTCAAATGCCTAGTATTTTAAGTACGGCTGGGTGTGGATTCATGACTAAAATAAAGTGTATTACCTAGCAGTTTCAGTCATTTGGTCTATTCGTCACAGTAGATTACAGAAAGTGTGGCATGCACAGAATTATGCATGCACTTTTCAACCATCTAAAATGGAGGATAAATTGAACATGTCATCGTTCTAGGAGAGTAATTTATATTGAGTACAAGCTGGGAAGGGACTAGTGCCAAAACCTCAGATCTAAATTACTTGAGTTCCAGGGAAATTTTAATCCAAATAAAAACTTCAGAGCTGTTGATTATATAATTAACTGAACCAACAAGAGACCATATCTCAGCACTCACTCCCAAGCTAAAGAATTTACACCAATATTGAAGTTTTGTGGTTAAGTCCACAGATGCTTAATACTGACTGTGATCACTGTATGGAGTTACTGCCAACTGTCTGTTGTAACCACCCCACATGTCCCTTTTGGCTTTGCATATATCCCTGTTCTTCATAAATGAACTTTTTAAGCTCAATAATAGTTCCTCATTGAGAGTGTGTTATGACGATTCACAAACTCATATTTTTTCATGCATGGACCATTGAACTTGGCCTCATTGTCCTCTTTTAATTGCAGGTGCCACCAATAATGTCTCAGGACTGAGAAGAAAAAGGAAAACACTGTTTTTTCTTGCTGCTTCTGCATTATCTTCCCTACAGCGTGTCTCACCTTCTTTTGCCTCTAGTAAAAACCCAACCATTCTTATCACGGCAGTAGTCAGCCCATGTAGACATTCAGTGAAATTCTGTCTTTAGGTAAAACAGTTCTTACTTTTCTATTCAGAATCATTCCTAATCAAACCCTCTTTTGCTAGGTATAACCAATTTCCTCCAAATCAAACATAATCAACCCTTTTCCTGTGATAAGATGTAGCTGTAATAGCCCACCCCAAGATTAAGTCCTCCCTCCCCAGTATTTTACAAAAGCACCTCTTTGACCTGACCCAACACAAATCAAAACTAATGTCTTTCCCATGGTCCAAAACAACTTCTTCTCCCCAAAATAAACTCTCCTCTTGACATTAAAAGCAAATGACCCCTGCAAATTCAGGAAGTCATGGTGCAGCAGAGTGATTGTAGTCCTAAAGATACTTTAACCTTTTCATTTACTGCAAGCATCATCCTTCTGCCTGTCGTCAACCCATAATGTAAAAGGTGAAGTGTGGACTAAGAGGGATGGAGCAGGAAATGTTGGCAGGCTGGAGATTGTTACCTTCTGGTCCAGCACAGGGACACAGGATCCAGCTGAGGCTTGAAAGCTGTTCAGAGCAGGCAGTTACTGGGGGAAAAGGATATTGGGGTTATCACTACCACTGATACATTCCCCAAGCAAATATTGATGTGATAATGAAAGTAAAAGGCATTATATTTAAAGTCAAAAGTAATATGCCTGTGAAACATGCTGGCAAATGATATCATTGAGGCCAAGTGCTTAGCAGGATTCAGTAAAAGGTTATACATACATATTCATACATTTGTGCGGGGAATTAGATTGGACCTGATAAAAATTCATAATGGATATAAATGTTCACAGTTCAGGGCATAAATCAGCCACCAGCCTGAGGTTAGAAAATAACTTCCCCTAGAGTCAGGCTGTTACATAATTATCAATTATACTTGCAGAGGGGGAAAGGAGGTTGAAGAATAGGCCAATTTCCTCAGAGACATTTGGGAATTACTATTGGCAGACAACTAATTTAGATTTTATCTGATATGGAAGTTCTTATTACATCAAATAATGTAATTTAGAATTAAAGCATGTGATTTATTTTGTATTTTTTATTCTTCATGTAATCAAGTTCATGCTTAAGGGTAACTGCAGGCCTTTCCATTACAAGCCAGCCGAAGTTAGTGAAATTCACTGTGCTGTGTCTTCTCACCAAATCTCTTTAAAAACAGCTTCATATTTTGCAACAAAATCAGGCAGAGTCACAGCAATTCAGTTTATCAAAGCTAGCCAACTAATACAGCCAACTTAGTGTCTGTATTAGCAGAGAAAAAGTTACCTGTGTGAACTGCAGCAAAATCTCATTCCAAGAAGTTCTCATTTTCATTGTTTGCATGGTAACCTAATAAGACTTACAGAGGTCCTGAATATATTGAATTATAGCATGAGGGCTACTCCAGGCCTACTTTTTTGCTTGGTATTATCAGCTCACCTAAGAAAAGCATACACAGTCAGTGGACTTGTTTTCATCAAGCAACACACCTCCAGCTCTTGTTGCACTTGAAAACAGTCTGTGAGCTAATGTAACACACACTGCACGCTAAGAAAAGCAGCCTTTGTGACCTTGCAACAGAGAGCTTGATGGAAAATCAGATTCCTAATCAATTGATGAAGAAACTGCAAATGAATACAGGCAATCCTTTGTTTGCTGCATTGGGATAGTAGCTGCATCTGCTATAGTTTCTGGAGCACACGGTACACTTACTGCAATTACAACATAAATTATCACCACAATAGATGTGGAAAGCTGAGAAACATCTATTAACAAAACACCTCATCACTTTTCACAAGAAAAAGGAGTGGTACTTGGCATCAGTCTCTCCTAAGCATAATTTCTGTTCCTAGTGAGTATTACTAGAAAAATTGCAGTGTGATTGCTCAACATCTGGAAAGTTCTAGTGTCACAGTCTAAAAACACTATGGTCTTATAAAAAATTTTTCCTGTGTAAACTCTGTGTAAACTTTGTTCAGACAGATTTATAAAAGGAATGGCTGAAGAGAAGGCAGCATATGCAATGTAGCAGATTTTAAAAAAAAGGTATCAAATAATATTTTGTAAAGATCTAAGTTGAAAGATGAATTCCAGCTGGCTTTGCTGTGCCAGCTGTGAGTTGCTGAGGACAGCCGTGCCCTGTGCACAGGCACTGACTGCCCAGCTCAGGGCTGGTGCTGCAGTGCAGGTGCATTGCAGGTTCCTTACAGCTGCCCTCGTGTAATGCAGGGGCTGCAGAAGCAGTGCCACTGCTCCATGGCTTTCCAGGAACAGAGCAGCTCCTGTGAGCACAATTAGCTCTTAACAGTGGCAGCATTACCAGCCCTGCAGCTGAATCAAAAATGAGGAATACAATCATTTGGGGTGGGTCATGTTGGCACCATTTGACACTAGTCTTCTGCCAGTCACATCTGCAGTTCTGTCATGTCTCCTGCCTCCTTCTGTCCTGCTGCTGCTGCTCAGGCATATTGATACTGTAGTATGCTCTGGGTAAAAAAAGCATTAGGATTCTAGTTGGATTGGGTGCACAGATCATATCATTTATTATTTGCAGATGCCAGGACACTAAAACTTTCAATTGTTTTCCCACCAAACTGAATAAGGCAGTTTGTTAATACAATTACCTCTGTATAATTGGAAACTAAATCAATGATGACTGCGTGATTTGAATGCTACTTTAAATAATTTCATTTTTATGATGCTGTTTTGTTGCACATGGTATTATCAAATAGCTTATTCATTTTCCTGCTGACTGTGATTTGAGTTTGCATATTTCTCTGTGACAGAAGAAGCACGTTTGCAAACCTTTCTAGTTTTCTGGGCTACAGTGTGCATTGCTTTTAATTATTTTGGCTGACACACATTAACAGTAAAAGTCCATAGTCCATAGTGAGTGAAACAAGAGGGAAGGACTGGGTGGACTATAACTTCCCTGAAAAATAAAAGCAGCCACCAGAAGTCTTGGGCAAAGCCCTTAAAGGAAAACAAAATGTGGGATAGACAAGGCACACAGAACTTAAGTGTTATGAAGGATTTCCCCTGCTCCTTTCAGAGGAGGATCCCTAGTCATTGCCTGTTTGCCTCTGTTTTAAAATATTTGGACAGGCAATAGGGAGATGGGTCACAGACCAGTCAATCTGTCATGGTCTGTTTGGATCTCTCAAATTTACAGGATCATGTACTTTGCAAATTAAACTTTATTTTATAAGCTCATTAGGAAAGAAAGCAAACATGATGAAGAAGGGCTCAATCCCCTTTGTACAAACTAGTATAGCTCATGAATTCACTAATTCATCATGTCGGTCATGAGGTTTCTAACTCACAAGTTCTCTAATTCATAACATGCAATTCATTAACTTGTAACTCGTGCACTTTGCATGTAAGGAAAATACCTATCCAAGGGTGAGAGTGCTCATCCTTCCTCCTTGGTCACAGTGCAGGTGTTCCCTGTGTCACATGAGAAGCACAAACATTAGTGTTTTATCAACACTGTTTTCATCACAAATCCAAAGCATAGCACCATACAAGGCACTATGAAGAAAATTAACTCTATCCCAGTCATAGCCAGTACAACACCTTATTCCCTACTATTTACATCATGCTCAGGTCCCATACTATCCAATTGATCCTCATTAGCCACCTTCCTCTTTCCCATCCCTACCTATCTTCACAGGTATCATTCCCTGTAAAGTGTCCATAAAACACCTGTGAATGTCCATTGAATTAATTTACTCCAGGACATTAGGCTCTCTCTGTCCTGGTGGTCACTCAGGACCAGAGAGCTGCTGTGTTGTGTGGAGTTATTGGGCACCAAAGCCAGCTCAGGCTGGGTCACTGCTGCATGTGCCCCACTTCTTGCACGGTGTGTTCTCCCCTGGCAGTGGCTCCTGCTACAGTAATCCTATAACATGCAACTCAGATCATAGTTTACAACAATTATAAAGTGCATCCATTATAGTTTCCATCTCTCTTTGGACTCCTACCCCTGCCTCTGCTGCAGTGTGGACTTATCCAGAGACTCCAGTCCCTTAGGGGTGGACCTGCTCCAGTGTGTGTACTCATGGGCCACAGTCTCTGCAGGGCACAGGTGATGTGGCCTGGCCTTAGGCACAGCCACAGTCACTTTGAGGTGCACCTCCTCCAGCACAGCCTTATCCAAGGGCCACAGTCCCTCCAGGGGTGTACCTGCTGTGCTATGGACATATCCATGGCCACAGATGCTGCTGCTCCAACAAGGTCTTATCCACAGCCACAGACACTTCAGGTTGTCCTGCTCCTGCAGGGACTTATCCACAGGTCAGATCCCTTCAATTCAAGCTGACGCTGGAGCTGCAGCCTGTCTGGGCCAGGAGCGACGCCCAGGCCTTGGGCCAGTCCAGGCACACTGCCAGGGCTGTTATCAAAATGCTCCCAGGAACAGCTGGGTAGGATGATAAGCCCTACAGCAAACAGCCAGAGTGAAAAGAAGCCACTAACAAGCTTAGGCTAATGTGCAGCAGGGCAAGCAAGACCTATGGCAAGCACAGCACCTGCCAATTAATAGCTCAACAGCACTAAAAGCTATAAATTCAGTCTTGCAAACTCTGACCAAACCTGTCATTACCTCAAAGCATTTCAGTCCCAAGTTGGTCACCAAAACAGGACTGTCATGGTTTAACCCCAGTGGGCAGCTCAGCCCCACACAGCCATATGCTCACTTACCCCAGTGGGATGGGGGACATAATTAGAATGGTAAAAGTGGGAAAATTTTTGGGCTGAGATAAAGACAGTTTAATAGGGAAAGCAAAAGCCATGCACACAAACAAAGCAGAAGAAGGAATTTATTCACTTCCTATCAACAGGCAGGCATTCAGCCATCTCCAGGAAAGCAGGGCTTCACTACAGGTACTGGTGACTTGGGAAGAGAAGCACCCCCAGTCCAAACATCGCCCTTTCCTTCCTTCTTCTCCCAGCTTTACATGCTGAGCACAACATCATATGGTCTGGAATATCCCTGTGGGCAGCTGGGGTCAGCTGTCTCAGCTGTGTCCCCTGCCAGCTCCTTGGGCACCCCCAGTCAGCTCCCTGTTGGGCAGCCCAAAAAGCAGAAAAGGCCCTGACACTGTGCAAGCACTGCTCAGTAATAGCTAAAACATCCCTGTGTTATCTTTTATCTCTTTTAATACATTGTTCTCATGAATTTTTCAAATTGAAAGGAAGTTGATTTCTAAGGTTAATTCATCAAGCTGGAGCAAGACAGCAACTCTGACAATCACGCATTCAAACCATATCAATGCCAGCTTATTCTACAGGATGAGACAAGTACTAGCAGAAGATCAACTGCTCCTGACTCCTCTGAGTCAAATTTAAAGCTGAATTTTCCTCAGGAAGATTAAGGGTATATATTCTATTTACTCATATTCATGTACAAAGTCTTACCACTTCCTGTATTTCCACAGTTCCTGGGAACAAAATCATAACCAGTACTTAATGTCTGGGATGTGGGCAAAGGTTGTGGGCATACAGTAACTATTTCACTAGTCCTAGAGACAGGGTCTTCTCCATGAAGACACAAAAGAACCAGTACTGTACTTCAGATTGTATGTTAACTTCATCTAGCTTTTAGAAGGTAGGGGTTAGGGAGGATGAATTCCAGCCATGGTGGCTGAAAACATGCCATCTTTTGCCAATTAGCAAGCAGGGGTCTATGGTGCATCTCATGACTCTGTGATGTAAGAAGGGAACAGAACTTGTGTCACATGTGATGCTAATTCCAGGCTCTTTGGTTTACATTTCATGCACAGATCTCATAAAACAGAGGACGTCTTCCTACCACTGAGTGAAAAATAGATGTTGCTTCAGTGATTCCTTTCATCAGTGTTTTTTTAGGGATATCACAGGGACTGATTTTAAACTAAAATTCTTTATTAAAAATGTAACATCAAAAAACCTCAAAATCTCAGATCCTCAGAGTCACTTCTCATTACAGTTTCGGTCAAAATACTAACTGGTTGAAAGGTCAGAAATTCAGTGACTGAAGCTGACTTGGCAAGTCAGGACTTGTTTCCAACATTTTCAGAAGTTTGAAAGTTGCTATTTCAACAGATATTTTCTTACATTGCCCTTTAATCTGAAGGTACCCAAACTAGCAAGTTTTTTAAAAGTTTGTTTTTCAGCAGTAGGTGGCACTATCAAGTTTCCCAACCATTGTAATATAAATTGATATAAAATTATATTAACAAAATTCTACAAATTATTATATTTATATTATAAATATAAATTATTACATTTATATTCTATAAATAATAATTCTATAAATTATTTTTAAAATAGCATGAAAATATCGCAGAATAAATTCTGATAATAAAATAAATATTTTTCTAAATATTACAATTGAGAAAAAGTCTAATGCAAGAATAGGAATGAGAATGTCTAATATCAAAACAGGCAACATGCAACATTTAAAATATGTGTCATAGAAAGTTCTCTATCCTCTTTGTAAAATACCACCTTGAGTTGATCTTGAATATACTACTTCAGCTGCTACTTTGAATTTCCCAGAAATTATATGTATCTCATTTGCATATAAAATGTAATACTGCAATAGTGAGTGTCAGTACATCTAGAATAAGCTATGTATTTTAATAAGGTAAATTAATGTATACAAACAGGAATATGGCAAATGAAAAAAAGCATTTGGATTTTTCTTTTGTGGTGAAAAGTTTATACTTAGCCAGCAGAGACTAGAGCAGTACATGTAGGGCCAGATTCCTCCATGTATACTATAAGGGGATATTACTATATCCCAAATAAACTCCAGGATTAAAAAGATGAAATGTTAATTGAAAACATTTTCTTCAAAACCTTACTATATAAAAATCGGTAAAGGGCAACTCACAAACAAATCTGTGTTTCCAGGTATTCCAGATTGTCTGATGACACAAAATAGCAGTGTCACAAAAGCACTGCAGGTACTTTGTTTCAGAAGCTCCCAAAGCCATACACCTCATTCCTCAGCAGTGTACAGCAGGAATAATCCAGTGCAATGCAGCATTTTCATTAAACTGGGTTTTGGATGACTGCCTTCTCATTAGAAATGAAGTGCTGGTCTGCCTGAGCACAAGGTGTGAAGATAAGGAAAGGAGAAAAGAAATTAAGTAAGGAACACAAATGAAATATATAGTCAATGCTCTTTTATCTGCCTGACCAGAAAGTGTCCTTGCCTTTTTTTTTTCACCCCAGGCACCAAGCAAGCTGCTTGGCTCTGCATACTGTTTCTGCACTATGATACAACCTATGCCAATGCCCAAGATTCACATTTTATTTTATTTTGTTTTCTATTAAATAAAGCATGCAGAAGAGAAACTTTTATAGTCTCACAGCATTTTTTTCATGAACTGACATTGTGTATTACTCCTTTTGGTCTGCTTACTGTTTCTTTTCTAATACTGAAAAAGCCAAAAGCTGGTACTTAATAAAATATAATTTGCAAGGATCTGCCAGCAGCTGCATTCAAAAGGTTTTTTAATTTACAACAGCCTGCTTCAGTTTCTCCAGAATCTTCAACAAGAGCCCTTCTTGTTGCATTCACTTCGGTTCACTCTCAGACCTCAGAATAAAGTGGCACTACAAAAATAATATGCAGGAATATATTTTAAATTTTGCTGTTTGTTTTCCATTACAAGTGATTCATTGTCACCTTGCATTCTACCTCCATGGAATCAAAGCCATAGCATCATAAGAGCTGCTTCAATGTGCCTAATTCATTCAGCACATCTCCTGCTTAGACCTCCACAATGTGTTCAGTGGCTCCATGGACATGCTTTCACTAAACTTCCATTGTAAGGGAAGTGCTTCCACTACATCTTGTACAGTTTTCAAATATACATCTAAGAAATCTACTTAAATTGCAGGTTCTTCCTTCCAAGGGATATATAAATTTCATATAATTACAGCAAGCAGTATCTTTGGGTAGACACACAGCTGCAACATGAAGGTGCAAAGAACTTTTAAATTACTACAGATGTATTGAATTTATACACTTGTGCTATTTTTTAAGTTGTAAAGTCACAGTCTTGTACCTTGAAGGGCAAACCTGAAAGTGAGATCTTTACCCTAGCTCTGTTTAAATGGCCCAAACAACCCAGCAGCTGTGCATACCCAAAGCAAGGTCTGAGAGAAACTCAGCACAGCACCCACAAGGGAATAGGGAGATTTATCAGGTTTAGTGAGTGTCCTAATTCCACACTATATGGTTCAATTAGTCATTGCAAGTAGCCTCGGAAATGGGCTCAAGGAGTGATCAAAGGATCACGTGAAAGGTACACACCGTCATATACTCTCAGCCAGGCTGCACACACAATGGCAGCAGACCCTTTTCAAAGTGGTATTCAGGGCACTGAATTGATGAACTGTGTGACATCTGTGAGGGGAGTTCAGTTTGCTCTCTGAGTAATGTAATTTACCATATAACGACAGGTGCTTTAAGATGAGACAGGTGCTTTAAGATAATTTGGTAACTCTGACACGTGTAAGGATGGCAGCCTGTGGCCCGTCTGCTCTAAAGCATCCCCCCTTACTTTTAGGCACGCTCTGGTACGTGCTTTGTTACCCGAGAAGTAGATGTGTTGGGGGCTGTGATGTGTTGTTTTAATGTGTATTGCATATTAAATAGCCGGCAGAGGTTGATAAAATGGTATCAGGACGAGTACCATTGCCGCTCCGAGGGGAACCTCGCCTGGAGCTACCAATTCCAAATACTTGGTGCGCGCCAACCCCGAGTCTCCCTATCTCTGTTTCGGCTGGTTGGATGGCTCCTTCGGGATCCCCTGCCCGGCAGAGGCAGCCGGCGCACAGGGGGCTGTTCCCGGGGCAGCCCGCCGGGCTAGCGGCAGTGCTCCTGCTCCATAGCCGAACTCACCGGCCTCGCCCGGAGCAGGGCCGCTCCTCCCCTCACCGAGGACACCCGGAGCAGGAGCTGCCCAGGGGCACGGAGAGGCAGGGCTCGGCCACTGGGCCGCGGGAGCGGTGAGCACGGATGAGATGCCCAGCACGGCCGTCGCCCCTGCCGGGAAGGCCGCCGCCTCCGCGGGTCCCGCAGGCGCTGAGTGGCTGCGCGGCCGGGCCGGGGCGGAGCGCGGGGGCGGCCGCCGTCCCGGCGCGGCCCCGTCCCCAAACAGCGCTGAGGGGAGCGGCGGGAGGTGCCGGGCCAGCAGCAGCCGCCGCGCCGTGCGGGCCCTCGCGGCCCCGGCCCCGCGCCATGGAGATAGAGGCAGCCGCCGCCGCGCAGGTGAGAGCGGCACCGCGGCCCCGGGCGGGCACGGCCGGTGAGGGCGAGGGGCGGGGCGCCCATCACGAGCCCGCGGAGCACGTGGCGCGGGCCCGCCCCCCGGAACGTGCTGAGTCACGGTAGGGGCGGGGCCGCGCTGCCCGCGGGGGCCGGGCCGGGCCGGGGTCAGCGAGGGCCGCCCGCAGCCGCCGCCCGCAGCCTCGGCAGCGCGGGCAGGGCCAGGGGCCGGGGCCGCCCCCGAGGGAGCGGCTGGGGAGGCGTCGGTGCCGGAGGGGCTGCCCGAGCCGGGTACAGCCTCGAGTCGCTGCCCCCGGCGGGCCCGAGCGCTCCCGCTTCGCACTCGGGTGAGTTACTGCCGCTTCCCGCTGCTGCGGCCCGGGCCCGCTCCTGGGCTGTTGCACAACCGGGATGTCCCGGGTTCGCCTTGGGCTCCGGATCAGCCTGGCACACGCAGCCCGCGGAGCCCGGCCGGGCCGCCCCGGCACCTCTGCCTGCGGAAACCCCCGGCGGGGCTTTGGTCACAGGGCAGGCGGAGCCGGAGTGGCCTCTGCCAGGGCAAGTGTCCTGGAGGCTCAGAGGTGTTTGTGGTTTGTACTCTGTGCTGCGGAGCCTCTTCTCTGGAAGCCTGGGGGAGTTCAGTACTGTTGTGTTACAAACTAGTTGCACAAGAGCGGTGTGAATAGCTGAAAACATAATTGAACTCCATTATGAATTTATATAATTGTGCTTTTCTTGGGCGTTTGAAATAGAAGCATATCCTTATCAACAAAATGCTAGGTTTAAAGAAGTAATACTTAAAACTTGTTCCGGAACTGCTTTAATTCTTTTCATACTGCAAAATTAAGTCTCAAGTGTTCTGATTCTCTTCTAGCGTGTGTTGGTATGCATATGCTATGCAGTAGAGTTTCTTCTAACGTTGTCCATGCTTTAGGATATGTAAGTGGGTACTTCCTACAGGTAATATGACTTCAGCAGTATTGGATGTACCTTTTTCTGTCCGTTGGATAGTTCCTTTAGATTCTTGGGCTGCTTGTAACACTGCTTGGCCATCTGTTTTTCTAGCCCTGGGTAGCACAGCCATGACCTCCACCTTGCCTCCTCGGTTTGTTGGCAAATACTACAGCAGAAATCACTGTCTTGGCTGGTGCTACGTAAGCACCGTGTGAATTTGGTTTTGCGTCTATTATCCAGGCACTTTCGTCCTCGTTCCTGAGGTACTCTCAACAGACCAATTCCTGAGTATATGATTCTGTACCTTCTTGCCCAATCTACTGTGACTTCTCTTCCAGAAACCTCGCTTTTGTTACTCATTTGCTTTTGTCAAACCCTCTTTACTAAGCCACCTGCTGCACTTTTCCTATCTGAGCTCGGCAGCTGCTGATTGCTTCTCTTGCAGACCTGGCCTGAAAAGGCAGTGTGTTTTCTAGATAGCAACTTATCATCATCTTTGACATATATAGTCCTAAGTGTATACATTAAATGGAAAATTCGCATTCCCTGTACCCTAAAATGTTCACTCAAAATAAACAAGGGGAGATGCAATCTGCATTTAGCCCCTCAGATTTTGCAAGCCAGCAGATGGGAAGGGTGTTCTTAGTGTCTGTGTGCCTGGCAGCAACAGTCATAGCAGTGAAGGTAAGTGTGGAGGGATTGATCAAACTCCTTAACCAGAATAGAAAACCTCCACTTTCAGCTATGTACTTCTGGGGGAGTTAGCAGAACTATTGCCTGCAATATTCCTGTAAAAAGTATTCCCTTGTTGTACCTTTTTGCCTGGAAGGAGGGTGCACAGAGGTGAAACGGAATGTTGCCTACATGGACCTCAAACCATCCAAGAAAAAAGATTGCAGTGGAACAAGTGGTCTGGATGTTTCAAATTACACTTGAGAAGGCAGGGACGTGGTAACTTTTCAGTAAATGTGAAGTTTTTGAAACGGTTTTCTGTAACCTTGTAAAAACAAGCCACTTAGTTAAAAAATTTTGAGCCTCATGATAACGGGGCAAAAAGAATTCCCTTTCCAACACAGTGAAACTGTGGGTTGCACTAGATTGGAAGTAAGACCAATTGCAACAATTGGCAAAGCCAAGTGGACAAATAATTGAGTGTGCATGCAAATGTATCTGTTAGGGTTTTTCTACCTAGAGAGCTGTCCTGAAGAGCCTCCAGCTCAGTTCATATGATCTCTTTAGTATAGGGGGCTTTAATGAGAAATTACAAATACTTTTCTTTTTCTTGACCTGCTGCATTAAATTGTCAAGTGAGTGGGTTTATTTTTATTCTCCAATAGCCTCTCATTTCCACGAGGGTACATTTTGTGGGAAAGTTGAACAGGTACCCTGCTCAGGGCTGGCAGCAATTTTTTGCTTTTTGGCTTGTTGTTTTTTGTTTTGTTTTGTTTTTTTTAGTTTCTTGAAAATGACATTTAATGACATTATTGAATAGGAATATCTACTCAATGTATATGTAGATAGACCTATTAATGTACACCTATTAATGGATGAAAATCAGAAATGCCCATATTTCTGAATATATTGTTATCTACTAAAATGTAGGACAAGTTTGGAGGAAGTACATGAGAGAGTATCACAAGCCCTTCCTTAAGTAAAAATGCATTTATTTTGACATTTCCACTAGTTCTGTGCTCACCTTGCTATTTAGCTGTATTGGTGGAGCTTTCTTTCCTTCAAAACTCAGGAAAGAATATCTTCCAGTGAAGCCAGTGTTAGATATAATGCAGTGTAGCATGTTTGGCTGAAATGAACATAGCCTAGCAGGAGCTGATCTTGTAAATCCATTCAGGAGAGCAGCTAATTGGATATTGTTATTAGTGTAGTAAATATCCATCATATGAATCCTGTTCTGTCACATGTCGTTAAAATATGCCAAGGAATTAGAGTTGTATTGGAAACTGGGGGAAGTGCAAGTTCATTGCCTCAGAAAACCTGACTGTCTGACTTGAAGAAATTAATATTTAGCACTCAAAGTTGGAGAAGAGATTGGCTATAAAAGTTTATTGGGAAATGTTTGAAAGAGACCAAACTGGAATAAAAAAGAACATCCATTGTAAGCAGAAGGCAGCTGGCTGTTCTTGTGTGCTTTAAAGAAGTTGAGATGTTTTTATAGGACTGTGTGGGTGGTTAGAAAGGTTTGTGTTCACTTCCCGCTAATGTTCATGGGCAAGAATAATTTTTGACTTTCTGTCTCTTACTTTATTCTTTTTCTTTTTTACTTGAAGAAACAGGGATGTTACTCATCCCGAATAAGAATGTTGTAGGTTATGTATAACCCTGAAAGAAAAGGAAAAGGTTGAAAATTATTATTGTATCTATTATGCACCTGAATACTGGTTTGATTACTTTTGCTTTCTTTACCTCTTGAATTTGCAGAGCAGAAAAATACCTGTTTGATTGGTACTGCTACTTCTGTGATCCTGACTGAAATGAATGTAGCAAGAGCATGTTGAATTTATTTGTTAAAAAAATGTCAGATACCTTTGTGGAGTATGCTGGGCTTTGTGAGGTGATATTGAGGAACAGTAGAAGTGGAAGGACCCAAGTGAAGTATTTGTTCTGAGTAAAATCAATTCATGCTATTCCTTTCTAGAGTTTTTCAAACATGGTTGTAAAATTTTGTTGTATTTGCTCCTTCAGTAGAATTAAGAAAATTCAAAATGGTGAAAGCTGTTGGAGTTTGTCACTGAAAGTTTTGGAATGCGGCAGACTTTATAAGGAGAATGATAGCAGTCAATTGCAGCCTCAGAAAAGGATGAACTTGAGGCAGAAAGAGAAAATATGGAAAGTCCAGATGAAGATGCCAGCAAATGATGCCACATGTACCCATACCTATAGCACTGGGTGTGTGACTCGCTGTGAAGAAGAAATTAGTTTGATTTTTGTATCTTGAGCACTCCTTCCTATTTTTTTCCTCTTTACAATTATAAAGATAAGCTTTAAAATTACTAAACCATTCACTAAATTTAGGCCAAATTGTGCAAGTGTAATGTATTTCCAACAATTGTCTTGGCTGAAGCCAGTGCAGTACAAGTTCAGGCAGTAACCCATTGGCATGAATTAAATATTAATCCCATGCTGATTGAGTTGCAGCCAGCAAGAAGTCCTGCAAAGTCTCTGGGTTAATCACCTGGTTAAAGTTTGCTTTGGCCTCCATCTCATTCCAACTCTTAAGTAACCTATTATTTTAATGTAGCACACACACTCCTAGAAAACTTGAAAGGATTTGAAGTCTGTTCAGTTTTCTGCTCCAGTTTATTATACCGAAGTTGGACTTTGTGCCACAGAATGCCGCTTTAGGTGAAGGGGAAAGAATATGACACCTTGGTCGGCTTAGTCCTTTCTCAGCAATAAACTGATTTAATTGGTTTTGAAAACACTTCATTTGCTACCTCTGCAAGTCTTTCAGTATGACCAATGGGAAGTCATGGAGGAGGAGCTGGAAGTCATGACTTTGAATTTGTGTTATCCAAGGATGACTGATATACAGTGAACCCCAGTGCTGCTCAGGGTTGCTCAACTGCAATTCTTTTATGGCATATTTGTTTCATTAAGGTAAACAATTAAACCAGCGGTAAGAACTGAAGGCAGCAATGCTGTCTGTGGTGTATAAAACTGCTGAAAACAGTGGAAGGCTTATCTGGAACAGATAATGGAAAATGCCTTCAATTCAAGATAGACATTGTGTACTTTTAGCTTTCCTACCCAGTAACTGCTTTCTCTATGGGAAAAGCAAAGGTAGTGACAGTCATGTATTAATTGGCAGTAGCAAGAATTTAATTATCTTATGGCACTTCACTTTTACTTTAGAAAAGTTTAATGATAATGCTCTGTGCAGCACAGTAGTGAAACAATCAGAGCAATACCTATTTTTCTGTATCTGTGATTTCTAGATACATATTTCTTAATTTTCTTTACTATTTAAAATAAGGAAATTAAAAAATATATTCCCCATTATATTATCTTGTTTTAATATTTCGTTAGTTTTACTTTGACAGGGGTATGCCAACAGTGGCCATTTCAAATGGAAGCAAAGTCTCTCAGAACCATACATTTAAATTAAGTATTAATTTGGCACCATACATTTAAATTAAATATTAATTTGGGTAACCAAGCAATCTGTAGCAACATCTAGTACAGATAGAAGTGTTTAATTATTTGACTGCTTTGAAGAGGAGCATTTGTCTTATGAACGATCTTCTGTTTTCTGTCTTTTGCCAGTTTGAATTCTTAGTGAAATATTTTCTGTTTTCTTTCAGTGACACATTGATTTTTCAATACTACGTGTCAATACATTGGTTTTGTATTTGCCTCTTAATTTATATGTTAATATTCACTTTAATATTCACTTTGAAATACTTAGATTTTTGACATACTGTTCTGGAGATCTTGGAAAGCTATTAGGAAAGAATCAGAGTGTTAATAACTCAAAGTTAAGTTAGCATTGTCCTACCAGCAGAGTATAATTGCTGTTCAGTAGTATATTACTAAACCCTAGCACAAGTACTAATTGGCACAGCTCTAGTAGAATGGGTATAGCTTACAAATAATACTTATGTGGCTGCAATTTATGCACTACAGGTACAGCTGAAGTTTTTTATTATGTCAGTTCAGATTTGTAATTTTGGCCTGATCAGCTGCAGTTTTTATACTGAGAAGAAGGAATTTGAAAATAAAACAGTGTTTGTTTATCAAAGTTATTTGGAAGGTACTGTAAATGATGTAAATGATTATTAATGTTTTCCGTCTTTAAATGTAAACTAAACCTAAACCATTTCATAAGGTATGTCTTAGTTGTGGATGCTGTTGCAGTACTGAGGGAGCTGTAACCGCTCAACGTTGTACGTCTTGCAGTTAGACTTTTAGCCTAACTTTTGCAGTATTATTATTAGCAATCTAGTTAAAAAAGAGAAGAGAAAGGGAAAGAGAGTTCCTTTAAGACTGAAGTTGCAGCAACAAAGTTATGTAAGATCAGTTTGAAACCATCTCTTTAAAACCTTTTAAGGAAGTATCTTCTGTATTGCTATGAAATGTAAAGATATCATCACCTTTTCCCTCCATGCCCCCACTTCTGTCTTGCAGTTTCAAAGTTTCATTGCTGTTTGCTGTATTGATTTTTACATGCTGTCTCTTGTAAGTATAACAAAAATTCCACTCCTGGAGACAGCTTGCGAAACCAAGTTTGCATACTTGGGAAATTGACTCAGAAGGAGCTTGGTTGATAGTGTGCCTGTAAGAGGAGGTTTGTTTTATGATTAAGGGTGTGTCTATTTGCTGTGTTTGAAAATTAATACCTACAAAATGTTACAGCAGTGACTTTTCAACAGCTGAGTTATGTGAAAAGTTGCTGTGACTCCGATTTGCTTCCTGCTCAGGTCATCACCACCATTTTGCTGGAAAGAGCTATGATAAAAAGATTATGGGGGTTTTTGTTTGTTTGAAACCTTGTGGTAAAATGAGTATCTTCCTACTTATTTCTGTAATTAGAGTGGAAAGCTTCCTGTGCTGCTCGGGCTCCCCACTGGGAGATCCCCATTCAGAATTCCCAGGCAGCATGTGGTTGGTGCAGGTCTGCCCCTGGGAATGCTGCCTGCTCCCCCTGTGTGAGAGGGCCAGTTTTAATTCTGCTCTGCAGCCAGCCACCTGGGTGGGGACACTTCATCATTTCTTCTTTCTGCCTTCAGGAGCTGCTTGCTTGAGTTACGTGCTCTTGCGTAAGAAGAATGAATTTTGTTCTAAATCAGGGTATTTCCAGTTGGATTGCGTGCAGTTATGTGACCAGATGACGTGTTCCACAGTCAGCTGGGTAGCACAACAATGGACAAGAGAGGATGACAGGCATGAGTGGGTGGCTCTGAAGGCTGGTGCAGCTCAGCTCAGAAGGGTAAGATCTTTGGATGCTTCATGGCTGGAAGGAGAACACGGAGACTGTATCAGCAGAGGTCATCCAAGACCTGTCAGTAGGGGCATTCCACCCCATTTTGTGACACTAATGCTTGACTTTACCACTGTCACAGGAGGAGTCACTGATGTGTCTGTACCAGTGCAGATAATATAGTCACGTTCTTGGTACAAGTGTACTGTAGACCCTGATGCAATCTACTGTGAATTACTTGACATGAGATGCATGGACATGTTTTCTGATTTATGACACAGAATTATATTCACACTTGGCTGTGTTTCTACTGTAGATGTGTCTTGAGATCTGTATCATCTGAGGAATTTCTGCAAGATTGTCCCACTGATATTTGTAAAAGAAATCAAATAAACCTGAGTAAACTTTTGAAACAAGTAGGATTTAAGATGCCAAAGGATGAAAATAAAGTCCCTAACAAAAATGGTGCTAGTAAAATGTATAATATGAAAACCAGAACTTATATTTGAATCTAAATTATGATTTCTGACAGCTGGTCTTCCAAATTATTTAAATTTAATTATTTGGCTATGGAAATGCACATTGTATTAATGTGCCTTATAACTGTGTAACAGCGGTAACAGGTTGCAACAGAGAATTACAGCACAATGACTTCTGATACTGTGCTTTCTATTTTGGTTTTAGTATTTGAACTAGAATGTTACCAGGTTAGTTCTTCAACTAGTATGAATTGTTGTGACTCAGTGAAATGTTGTAGTGCCATGGAATCTTTTCTGGCTTGATTTGTAATCCTTTATCATCAATCACTTCAGGAGTGTAGTCTGTGCTGACTACTCTTGGGAGACTTTGCTCAGCTGACAGCTAGTGCATACATCTCTAGACATCTTGGATCTCTCCAAGTGTATTTTTCTCAGCAAAGTGAAGAATGGAAGCCCCTTAAATAATAAAACAGTTAATGGAGTGCTTCAGATTATTCTGAAACTGTCACTAAGGTCAGACCCACAGAATTATCTTAAATTCAAAATGAAGCTTGGGATGAGAGTTTTTGATAAAATAGACTATGAGTTCTCCTGTATACTCCAAGGGAACAGGCATGGAAAAAGCCCCAAGGAAAGTGGTGGGTGGTGGAGGCTCTTGATTTGGACAGAAGGACAATTACTTATGGCTGAGTTTTGCAGTTTTGTTGCTCTTTTGACGATATTGAGCATTACTTTGGCAAGAGCTGTAAAACCATTTACCTACTCTGGTTTATGCCTTGGAAGATGAATTAGATCCTTTTGCTTTCAGGATTTATAAATTGAAAAGTGAGGGTTGGAATGCAGCACACAGACAGAGCTTTTGTTTTCTGCCCAGTTATTGTTCACTTCCTCAGTGGGTTTACCTTCTTTAAGCAAAAGCTGTCATTGTGGAAAGAAATGATAAATTGACACGGAGATGCCTGACTTGTTGGCCCTTACTGAGCTTTCTGATTCAGTTGTTTAACTTTGCAGGACCTTCATGTGAAAGAGATTGCTGAAGCCTTTGTGGGGGCTGATGATTCTGGAGGCTTGCTTTTTGCAGATAAATGTGTGGATTACAAGTGCTTAAGAAAATAAGTAAAATCTACCCTGGCTTCATTCTATGGATAGAAGGATAACTCAAGTATCCTGGTGTGGCTAGAGAAAAGGGAAAAGCTATATGAAATCTTTTCATGCAAATTAAATAATGATTTCTGTGATGCTTTGTGTAAATTGAGGCAGAGTCTTCTTGGTCAATAGTGCACGGTTGAATGGTATTATTCTTGACTGAAGTATGTCACTAATAAACGCTGTTCACAGTGTCAAATTAAGTCCACAGTGCCATTTAACCATGAATTACTCTTTTGGAAAAATATTGCCAGCACAGCTAAAATGTGCCCCTCTGGGTATCCCTTTCTCAAATCTGTTATGATTTTGTACTGCCCAGTGGTAAGCAGTTGACTAGCAATGTATTTTTGGCCTCTTTTCTGGGTTTGGTTTCTTTTCCCCTTGCAGAAACTAAATAAGAAGTGTATTAGAGGTTGAACACTCAAAAAAACTCCCACCCTGCTTGTTTAGTGAGAACTGTGCACTGACTGAATTCCCCGCACTGTCTGTATGGATTATGTATGTGAAAAGAGCATGTTAATTGCAGGACTGACTCACTATTTAACACCTGTGCCCCACGGACTTCAGTGGGGACTGTATACCTGTGTACACTGGCAGATGTAGGCACATCTGGAGAAAACACTGGTCCCTGCAATTTAACTTTATTCTTAAGCTTTTAGTCTTAAGATAGTACTCCTGGCTGATGAGGTGTTTGTGTGGAATTTCCTTGATGCAGCCACAGTAGCTGCCTGTGTTTCTGAAAGAGGGCTGCTGGGTGTGTGCTGCCAGGACACTGGGTGAACCTCATTGCTTTCTAGTTCAGCAGGCACTCCAGTTGCTTGCCACTGTAGTTGGGTCCACAAACAACAAGAACAAAGTAAGTTGCTCGTGAGATGAGTGGGGTGGAGGTTGACAAGATGGGCCTCCTGTGGTGTTAGAGTGTGCAGTGTCCACATCCAGGCCATGCTGCAGCTGCAATGACCCAGCTGGTGCTGTCCCTGTGACTTTCCCAGCCATCAGCAAAACAACAGCTGGAAATGGGGATTTTAAACTGAGATGCCAATGCAGTGAAAACGTGTAGTACAAGAAAGATACAGTCCTGGAAAATACATGGACCCTCAAACACACAGTTTTCATGTTTGGTTTGAAACTTGCTTTTCCAAAAGGTGTGAAATCAAAATAGTGGCTAATAAGTTATAACACAAGATTATAATGTTATTTGCAGTTTTTAGGTTCTTTTACTGTTCCTATGTTCATTTTGCTTCCTGATTTGTTTGATTGGACAAAAGAATGTTCTATAATTTGACTGGATCATGTTTCCCAGATGACTGAGCCATTATTGTAAACAAATCCTCTTGTGTATAAACTAGTGAGTATCCTGTGGCAATGTCTGCAGAGTACATGTTTGGCTGGGTATAGCAGAATAGCTTAAAGATAATATTTTCTATATTGAACCTACAGTATTTGAAAAACAGTGACCTGTGTTAAAGTGGGATGCAAAGGCTTTTGTATTCCTGTGGTTGAAAGATCAGCAATATTTTTCTCATATTATTTGTTTACATATAAGGATTTGTTGTTGTTGTATAAATGACAAAATTCAATAAATGCCTGTTTCATTATGATGCTGTTTTAACTTGGGAAGGAAAAAACCTCTTCAAACACAAATAAAGGCATTAAAGCCGTATTTTGTTTCAGGAAGAGCTGGTCTGTCTGAGATGGCTGCTGTTTGAATACCTTTCAAAATGGTGTTATGTGGTGCAGTACATGGTGATTAGACAGCTAGAAAGTCAGCCACAGCAGAATCTGTCTCCTTACTTGTTGGGGCAGCACAGCAGAATTTTGTTGATGTATCAAGCAAAATCAAACAGACAGACTAACCCACTCTTGGTAAACAATCCCGTATTTTTGCCAGCCTCCCAAGTTCATGATGCAACTTGTGTAATAGATTGTAACTTGAATACATATTAACTTTTTTGTGCTTATTATTGACTTAATTTTGTAATGCTGCTGATGCAAGATAAAGAAATAGTAAGTCAATAACTCTGTTAAACTGAAAGAGGGATTCAGAATTGGAGTGTAAGGGACTGCAACACTACTAGCCAAATATACTGTGGAAAAGGGAAAATTTGATTAATAAAATAGAATTAGCACTGAAAAGAGAAAAGCAGAACCCATTTAATTAAACAGCAAAGCTCTGAAAATATGTATGGCTCACTGTTTTAGATACAAATGCTTCAGAAAGCACTCTGGGATGTCAAGAGTTTTAGGACTAAGTTTGAAGAAGTGGGATGACAACCATGGCCATTTTTAGGTTGTTTGGAGCAGCCATGGTAGCACTTGTAAATATGGGCATAATTCAGTTTATTCAAGAAAAATTCATTGTAATCAGTTCACCATGTTAGACCTTACTCTGTCTTTTCTTTATGGCTGAGGCAGAAATAAGGGAATTGGGAGCAGATAGCAATGCTTGGTAGATCTGGTCCTCAGTACAGATTGCAAAAATCAGGTACTGGACAAAGAAAATATATACCAATGTCAGACTAAAGATTTTGCTTTCTGTAAGCCATGCAAATGAGACTGTGGATTTGGGATTTCAATTTTTTTTATTTTTTAAGTATGTTGAGGTGGGATCAGTCTAGACCCCATTCAGCCTCTGGAAACCAATTCTCTATATTAAACTCCTACTAAACTACTGTTTTAAACCACCATTTCAAATATGTATTGATTAAACAATTTAGAAAAGCACAGCTGCTTCTGGAGTGTCTGAGATAGATCATGAACCAGTCTTCTGCAGAAAGATCTGCAGCACTGATCTGTTGTACCATAAATGGTCACCTCAGAGCAGACCAGAAGTGGTGGGCAAAGGACATAGATTCGTGTTTCTGACTGTTGGTGATGAGACTGAGCCAGAGAGGAGAGTGCTGCTCCTGCTGCTGTGCCCCAGGCTGGGAGTGCTGGGAGGCACTTGCACATGCCCAGTATTTTAAGGAGTGTCAGGGAGGTGGGGACTGATGCTCTTATTTTGCAGAATAAGAGAAGATTTGCCAGAGTGAAGAAGTAAGCTGTGTGTGTCCTTCCTTTTCCTGTTCTTTGCTGTGTTTCTGATGTAGGTGTTTTCCTTTGCCTGATTTGGTCTTGCTTTACTGTTAGCTTTAGGATTTGCAGGTTTTGGAATTGAAATAAAGCTAGTACATTAATGACCATAAACAGCCTTCAACAGCTATTTTTTATTGCACTTACATTCTTGCTCATTTTATGTTCTTCAGGCTTAAAGAAATTTGTCCTTTCACTACACAGGGTGAAAAAACATATATACCTTGTTTTTTACAAGGCATATACAAGGTATATTTTCTCCCTGGCAGTTTGGAAAGCTTGCTTGCCATGGAATGCCTTCAAGAAAACCATCATGTTGAGAGCTGTACATAACTTACAGACAGCTGTACATAACTTACAGACCTAGCCTTTGTTGATACCATTCCTGGAAGATGACATTTCAGGTAAAATACATAAATAATCCACCTCTCAGAGGAGTTGTTTCTGGAGTGAGGGTTGGGAGAATGGGTGAGTAGTATCCAGAATTGTACTTCCAGCCAGGCAGAACTTCTCCCAGTCTTTGTCAGAGCAATGCCCTTAGACGAGGCTTAGTAGTGAAGTTAAAGAATGCTGGACAGTCCAGCCAAGAAATTTTCAGCTAATCTAATTTATAAGTATAGATTCTGACAACTAGACATTTAGTGAGATAGCTTGCTGTAATACAGTGAGAGGTACATTCTGGAATATGAGATGTGTGTTAGGAGAAAATAGAAATTTGCATAACAGACTTAACATTTCAGAAACTGATCTTATCTGGCTCTGTTGGGGCAGAAGAATGTCCCAATATGCATGGACAGCATTTAACAGGTTTATTTATACAGACAGGGGGTGAAAATTCTCTTGCAATATCACTTCTTTAAAGCTAGGGATTTTCAACCCCTTTTGAGTCCTTTCATAGGTAAGTAGGCCTGCCAGGGCTTTAAGAGTGTTTTGTGGCTCAGGTATCCAAAGACTTTAGGACCAGGAAGAGGAAATGGGCATAAAGAAAGAGAAGCAGGCTGGTGTAGTGTCAAAACATACTGGTTTAGTGTCAGTACAGTCACACCAGTGTTAGGTGGCACAGGTATGAAAGACAAGAAAAAGGCATCCCCTTCCATCCCTCCAAGCACCTTGTTTCCTTCCAGATTCCTCAGAAGGTCTTGGTGGGATAGCAGACAGCTCTGCAGGGCAGTCAGGGGTTTGACCTCATGTATTCACAAATGTCAGGTTGCTGTCATGTGGCTTTGTTTGACAGCTGTCTGTTCTGTCACACTTGCAAACTCTGAATTCAGACATCTGAAATTGCTGTTGTACCCCTCTGCCCACCAGTGTAAGTAACTTCTGTCATTCCCTTTTCCCCATTCTTCTTGATTGTTTTTAAAAAGTTATGGGTTTGGGCTAACTTTATCTGCTTTCTGTACTCTCTTAAACATAAGGCTTATGTATCCAGAATTTTCTTCTGTAATTGTAAGCTGTAATTAAGAAACTTACCTTGAAAACTATTTAGAAAAATAAACAGTAATTATGTTTATTTTATTTTTAATTATGTTTATGTTTATCTCAGATGCCAGAGATTATCTGAAAACATTAAATTATTTATTAATAATTCTTAAAAATTACTTGAACAAAATCAGTTCCTCCAGAGAACAGTGAGGTGAAAGCCTTCAGCTGTTGCTTCCACTGAGCTTTTCTTAAGTGATAAGATGCTGCCAGTACAAGCTCCTCTTGTACTTGCCTTATTACTTGATGGCCTTCTTTTCATTCATGCCTTGAAGTGTCTCAGGTCCTTGGGCCTGTTTCACTTCCAACACTTTTTTTTTTTTAATTAAAGCAGAAATGTAAGGTGCTTTTTTCTTCATCCCCTTCACTTTCTGGAAAACATAAGTGATAAGATAAAAGTGAGGGATACTTTGCCGTGTCTGTTTCTGTGGGTAAGCCACAGGAATGCTTCCCTGCTCCTCGTGCAGTGCTGGTCTGAGCTCCCTGCTGGCTGCAGTAGCCATTGATTCTGTTGCTCTTTATTGACTCCTGCTGGCATGGGAAATCATCTGTCTTCATGGGGTTAGGTGCTAACACAACATGGGAAAGGAAAACCAATCCTTGTCTGGTGGGAGATTCTGCTTGTGTTATCTCAATTTATGGTGCAAAAGGCATGACTGGAGAAGTCAATGCACAATCCTCACAATATGCTCTGTATCCAGGGAGAAGCTTACAATGGGTTGAAGGTGCCGAGATTGTTTCTCTGCTTACACTTGGGCTGCTGGATGTTTCCATTCTAGCAAGGCTACCTGTAAATGGCTCATATTCCAAACAGCACCAAAACCAGTCAGATAAACCAGACAGGGATGAAACAAAAGATTAGCGTTTTGTTTAAAGCGTGGAAGTCAGTCCATGAAAGTAACATGAAAACAGGGTCTCTTTCCTTTGTTTACCCTTCTGTAAACATTTGCTTAGGAGCAATAAGAGTTAATTGTCAAACTTTACAATGTAGTCAGAGATTTTCTCATAAAATGTATAACAGACTCTGCCCAGATGGCAAATGCTGATATGTAAATCTAAAACATGAAAATTTCCATTGAGGGCCAGATGGTGGCTTAATGTGAATTGTTTAACATTTATGTTTATCTTATTAAAAGTGCCTTTATATGTCCAAACTAAGCTATCGATGTGGTTGGAAGAGCATATCACTAAATGAACAGAAAAATCAAACCATCAGTACAAGGCACCTCCTGCTTACATGGATCATGGGAAAGCAAACGTCTTCTGTTGAGAGAAGTTGTTTCTCTGTCTTCAAAATTGTGAAGAAAATCAAACCAAAATCAACCAAAATCAAATCACTGTTTGTCTGCTTGGGAAAAGTACTAAACCCATACCATTTTCTCCAAAGTTAGGAATGTTGGATGACAATAATCCACCAGTTGAATCCCATAGTGCAGTTGCCCTTGGCCGAGGCGTTGGTGCTCAGAGGAAGGAGCTGAGCTGCAGGCGAGGGGGAAGCGCCGCAGCTGCAATCCCTCCTGGGCACAGGCTGGGCTCTTCCTGCGGCCCCTTGGCTCTGCCAAGCCCATCATTTCCTCTGATGCAATCCAAGAAATTGCACAATGGAGGAAAGAACAAGTGGGTGCTTGTGGAGCCTGTCACATGAGGCTGTGCCTTTGCTGTAAATGTGTCTGATATTCAGGGAAGTGGTCAGCCTGGCTCTGAAGGGCAGCAGCCAGCTCTGGGTCAGATGAATCTTTCACAGGACTCCTGGTGCACGTGTTCCTGTTTAGAGGCCAGTCTGTGCTCACTTGTCTCTCCAAATGAATCTTTCTGAGACAAGCACATCATGTTGAGGCATCTAAATCTAGTGGGTTGCCCTTGCACAGGAGAGGAGGGCACATTTTAATAGCTTTAGTTTTACACTCCAGGCATTGAGTACACAGTTACTGCTGGGATACTTTCACAGTAGAAGGGGAAAATTGCTTCGGTGGTGAACCTAAGGTAGAATGCCTGCCTGTGTGGGTACCTCTGTGTATGTGTGTGCTGGTGTTGGACAGGGCAGGGAAATAAAGAGGAAGACTGTGGGGAGGCTAAAGGAACAAAATTGCAAAATGTTTGCTTTAGACTGCAAGGGTTTTTTTAAGAGTTCTTTGCCATTACCGCGTGCTTGTGGTTGTGATTCATTCCTCAGTGAATCACTTGTCAATGTTGACTCCCTTAACTTTAACCTGAGGCTTTGGACTAATGACCAGAATACTTATTTTTTCTTGAAAAGGGAAGTATTACTAAAAGCATTGGTTGAAATTATAGATAAGCATTAAGTGTAAGGTTAATATTTAAATCAGTGTGCTGTTAGATACTACATATCAGCATATTGACCAGAAGAACACTTCCTCCATATAGCCCATTTATGTTAAGAGTAATTAGTTGAATTGTTATTCAAAGTTAAGACTAATATTGCTGTATTTATGTACAACTTTTCAAACTGAAAATAGGAGGGCTCTTTTTCTGTTACACGGTGGTAACAAAACCAAAATAACCCATCCTTTTGGTTTTAAGTGTCACTAGCACAACTAAATAAAATTTAAAAGTGCTCCTGACAAGCAGTGCCCTCCCGGGGAGAGCATGACACTGTTTGGCAAAGCTCAACTGTCTGCCAGAGATAAGACACTGACCTAAATATGGTCACTTGAAGAATAGTGACAGGAGCCAATCAGTGCTGTCATATTTGTCAGACAACAGCTCAGATCCTGACAGTCTTGATAAGTATGCAAGCATATTCATTCAAAAAAGAATCCTGAACTGACTGCTGCACACACAAAGTGGTGTACAGGCATTTTCTTTGGTCAGCTGGTGTCTTTAGAGACATCTCATCCCACAAAGGAGGCAGCACCCAAAGCTACTTACTTTGATAGTGAATGTTGCCATTAGAAGGGCTGAAAAAGGTAATAGCTGGGTCTTAAGTTTTTGTACTAAGGCTACATGGATTTTCTTCTTAAGGAAAATGTGTTTTGCCTTCTGTAGCTACAGGAAGAAAAACTTTTGTTTTTCATTATTTAACCTGAAACTGAGCACCAGTTCTGATATTTTTGTGCATTATACACACACATGCACATAAAAAATCTTCTGAGTCACATTTTTAATGGTGCTTTGTAAATGAATTCAGAAGTGAGCCCTAAAATCCAGATCCTGCAGTTTTATCCAGAACATATTGCAAATGCTCAGAGACTAGGAAACACTTTTGGATCTGCTGCAGAAGGAGACACTGAGCAGCTGGTAAACTACTGGCCCTTAATGAAGCTATACCATATTGCAGTATCTGCAATTACTGCAGAACTTAATTAGTTCATTTTACCCTGCCAATCTGGAAAGACCAAACATTGTCTTGGGCAGCCTCTGTAATAATTTCAGCTTCTTCATTGCTGGCCATTAAAGTCGAGTTTGGTCTCTCCCAGCAAGGTATAATTTAATATGTTTTAGATTTGGAAGTGCCTGCATTGTGTTACACAAAGATATTTTACATAATTACCCAATTTTAGTAAAAATACATTTTTTTAGTTATTAGTAGAAGTCATTCATGCCATGTGGAATGAGAACAGTGAATTGTTTGTTCAGATGTGGACTTGGCCTAAAGCTTTTTGCCATAGCTGTTGCACAGACGTGATCATTTTGAATGGCAGCATGAGCTGGCATTCAGGTTACTTTGCTTCTCTATTTGAAAATAACCTTCAGAAGGAAGGGAATGTTTTAATTTGATATGGTGGCAAAAAGTTCTATCTTGGGTGTAGAGCTGCTGAGTGAATCAGGAAGGTTCTGTTTAAATGAAATGCAGTGTTTGGTGTATTACTTGTACAGTGTTAATCTGATGAGGATGCCCAACACTGAACATTATTTTCACATGCTGCCCTGAAGGGTAATTTTAAGCATAATAAAATCAAAAATTTCCAGGCACCAGCTAAATGGTTGGCATTTACCCATCTGAGAAATGTGGCTAGCAAATATTAAAATTCTGTATCAACAGGCATACAAATGAATACATTTAGAGTGTTAGTTTGAGTGTTTTCTTCATAGAAGAAAATACTCTAGACTTCTGCCCTAAGAATATTGACTATTTGAACAGTAAAAAACTAAAAGAAAAGAATCTATTAAGCCCCTTGGCCCTCCCCAATAAAAAGCCTTGATGCAATAAATTAAAAGTAATTATAGCCATAATATATATTAAGCAATTGCTCTTTCCTAAATAGCAGAATTCCATTTGGACTCTGTGATGAGCCAGGGGCCAACTCATTAACAGTATTTGAGACCCTGCAACCACTGTTTATACTCAGCTGCTCCAAACCAGCCACATTTAGAACATCAGCACAGACTAAGATTTAAATTACAATTTCTTACTAATAGTCTTAATAATTGTCTTTAGTGCTAGTGATGTTATGTCACTTGGTGTCTTTGAAAACAGATTTTCCTGCAGCTCTGAAGCTCTGTTCTGCTGATCTTTAAGAGTAATACCAGAATGGAACATTACTAATCCAAAATACATTCTACATGGCTATTATAGTTACTTCAGGAAGCCTCCATCATGTTTTTAGGCAGCTTTTGCAGTTTTACAAGAACATGTGAAAAAAAATTTACATGGTCAAACTTCTCAATTTCTCTCTTTTCTCCTAAAAATTGCTTTCTTTGTGACAAATTAATTCTGTATCTTCATGTTTTCTATGAGACAAGTCAAAAAAGAAGAATATATTTATCCTCTGGCTAGTTCCTGTATTACCTTACCAATTGTAATAAATTCTTGGTTTCTGTGAGCCTCAGTGTGGGCCACAGAAGGCAAGCCACCAGATCACACACTTCAGAAAGGTCATATAGAGCCATGTTTTATTTTGGTAATTTTGTAGGATTAAGAGAATAAGCTTCAGTTACATGAGTCTACCCATTTGACACAGAGATTTAAAGCTTTGCTGTTGTTCTAAACCAGTTCTGCCTGGAAGGATCTTGCTTAAAAAAAGCATTTCTGTTGCAGGACATGAACCTGATTGACATCCTTTGGAGGCAAGATATAGACCTTGGGGCAAGACGTGAAGTGTTTGATTCTAGGCAGCGGCAGAAGGAGTATGAACTCGAGAAGCAGAAGAAACTTGAAAAGGAAAGACAAGAGCAGCTCCAAAAAGAGCAGGAGGAAGCCTTGCTGGCTCAGCTGGAGTTAGACGAAGAGACAGGTGAATTCATTCCTGTGCAGCCAGCTCAGTGCATTCAGTCAGAAAATACTGAGCCACCCGTTGCTTTCTCACAGGTAAACTCCAGTGGTGTGAGTGCATTTAACCCTTTTTCCATTCACAAGAAGGCATAATGCTAGTGGCTGCCTAAAATTAATTTGCACATGTTGCTGTAACGGAATATCTTCTGTTACTCAAACATGCAGTAACCTTTTTCCATAACTTTCCTATTTAGAACACAGAGCCTTCAAAACCAGAAGCAGAGGCCTTGTCCTTTGATGACTGCATGCAGCTCTTGGCAGAAGCATTCCCGTTTATAGATGAGCATGAGGTAAAAATGCACAGTTCAGTGGTTTCATGGGTGCTTTTCCACAGGGTCAGTCTCATGTCTTCTCTGACTAAGATTTGTCTTCACCATAAGACTAATTTGTGGTCTGACTTTTCTCCTCAAGCTGGCTCCAGCTGACATAAAGCACTGAGTAGGCTTGAGCATCTTTTTATAATACTCCATTATATTAAAAAAAATGCTTTCCTTAAGAAACACCTGTTTGTTCTGCAGAAATGATGCAGAACTCCAAAAACTAGGTTTTTTGCTTTGGAAAATGTACATCTGTTTTTTTGAATGTGTTTTTTAGTTATCATTGTTTTGTTCAGGTTTTAATTATTTGTTTAAACCCTTCAGGCTTCTTCAGCTGCATTTCAGTCACTGGTTCCTGCTCAGGTCAATAGCAACCCAGCCTTTGTTTCCTCTGATCAAACTCGGCCACCTGAATCCCCTGATCTAGTACAACCCACTGATGCAGAGAATATGCAGAACATAGAGCAAGTTTGGGAAGAATTACTGTCCCTTTCAGAGTTACAGGTTAGTATAACAAGTACCTGAAAGACAAAGTATGTTCTTTTTGGAGGACTATAGTACTTTGGAGAAGGCAGTACAATAGCATCTGAAGAGATGCTGACTATGACTTGGTCTCTACACCTGCAGGATGTTTATACGTCAATATAAGCTTTAATTTTTTTAAAAAAGAATATATTGAAAAACATGTAGAAAGCATGAAATGAGTTGTTTATGGATAAACCTTAATGAAACACTTGTCAGTCAGAACTTCCTCATGTTTAGCAAGTCAGTGTTTGTCTCTCTGATACAGCGTGACCATCCTTAAAATGCAGCTGCTCAGAAATGGACAGTTCTGAGTCATGGATCTACAACAGGAATTGTTTTCACAAGTGTTACTGTAAATGTTGGGGGCTTTTTGGCAGTGTCCAGTTGTGTGAATACGATTACTTTTGCATTCAAGTTTTATCTAAAGAAAAGGTTTTTTAAAGGTGATAATAGAATATATATTTAGGTACACAGAAGAGTCATGTATATTTATATGAATGCTGTTCATACATACTCAGTAAGAACAACTTGTGTAATGTATGTGAACTGGATATTTCCAAGGAACAAAAGAGTCACTTTGCTAATACAGAGAGTATGTAGGGATTTTTATCCTATGTTTACATTTCTGTTTTCCTTATATTTGATTATAAAATTGAATAAGTTTATTTTCAAATATATTACTGTAGAATGTCATCATGCTTTCCAGCATGCTGCTGCTGTACTTTATGCTATTAATACAAGAGATGATTGCTTGGTGGAGTGCCCATAAATCTCAATCATATTTCAAAAAACTGAAGTGAAAATTTGCAGAAGCTGATTTTTTCCTGCCACTCTCCCTCTTCCCTTCGTCTTTTTATATTTTTTATATTCTTCTAGTTTTCTAACCCAATTACTGTGTTATGCTTAAAGGGCCCACATAAGTAACAAGTGCAATTGGCTGTGAAGAGGCAGTAGTGATGGTAAAAATACATTAAGAAACCAAACCAAAGTAATATATTGCAATAATTCTGAATAGTAATTGAATAATTTTCTTGAAAAAAAGAGATAATTAAAATAAGGGCACTGCCTTTTACAAATTATGTTTAGAGAAATGGAAAAATAGAGCTCTCACATTGAAAATCTTAGCTTAAGCATTGAACAACCTCTAGTTAAGTAATTCCTGGGGGATGGCAGGCCTGTTTATTTCAGCTTCAGTTAGGCAACTGCCTGCTCATTATAAAGTTGTTCTTGTAGCCAGTGAAAGCCCGGCAGTGGAGCAGTCTGACGCTCACACTGGTGTTAGCCAGCTGAACTACTGTGTTTGCCTGGCTCCATGTTAGCACTCTTCTTACTTCACCAAGAATTACATTGCTCTGTGCTGAAAGCTCCTTCATTCAGTAAATCCTAGAAGAATCTTGGTTTTGAGGAACTGTGAACTAAAAGTAATAGTTCTAGAAGTCATTGTTTGCTGTACATGCTCATTAAGTCTCATTCAGGAATTTTATATTTCTGTACTCATCCATTCCTAGCAGTGGTGCTTGTGAAAAGTTCATACCTGGCAGCAACTAGCAATTGCAGTTTCTCTAACGCATTGGAATGGATGTCTTCAGCATCTTGCTCTGAGCCTGAGAGGCTCTGCTCTCTTACTCTAAAATGTTTTGTCCAGAACAAGTTGTGTTGTGCTCTTGCTTTGGTATCTGTCATTGTCCTCCATTGCCTCTTCATAACACAAGGGTGCTGCATCTAGACTACAACAGTGTTATAAAACCCCTTTATGTCCATATTGATTGCCATTTAATGCTTTTGGGTTGTAGAAAAGGATTTTATCAATTGCAGATGTGTTGCTCAACTTCTCCCTTGCATTGCCCATCTAGTGCCTGAACATTGAAAATGATAACCTGGCTGAGGTGAGCACAGTGACAAGCCCTGAAACCAAGCCAGCAGAGATGCACAACAGCTACAGTTACTGCAGCTCGTTACCCATGCTGAAAAAAGATGTTAACTGCAGTCCAGATTTCCTGGATGGTATGGAGGGCCCCTTCTCGGGCATTTTGCCACCAGAAGACACCAGCCAGCTGAGTGTGAACTCCTTAAATGACACATCCCCTTCAAACCCTGATTTCTGTGAGGATTTCTACACCACGTTTATTGATACAAAGGTGAACGGTGATGCAGCAGCAACGAACACTATCAGTCAGTCCCTGGCAGAGATTCTAAGTGAACCTATTGATCTTTCTGACTTTGCACTGTGTAAAGCTTTCAATGGCACCCACTCAGGGACCAGAGCAGAATGTAACGATTCGGACTCTGGTATTTCACTGAACGCAAGCTCCAGCGTAGCATCACCGGAGCACTCTGTGGAATCATCTGCCTGTGCAGATAAGACTTTGGGTTGCAGCGATTCTGAAATGGAAGACACAGATAGTGCTCCTGGAAGCATGCTGCAGAGCAGTGCTGGTGTGTACTCTTTGCACCTCCAGGATCAAGTGTTTTCTTCCTTAGGGCCAAGCACTCAAACATCCAGTTTGCCATGTACAGCCACACCAAAGAAAGAACCCCCTCCTGCTCCTGGCCAACCCAGAGTTCCCTTCACAAAAGATAAACCTCCAGGCCGCCTTGATGCTCATCTCACAAGAGATGAGCAAAGAGCCAGAGCTCTGCAGATCCCTTTTCCTGTTGAAAAAATCATCAATCTGCCTGTTGCGGACTTCAGTGAAATGATGTCTAAGGAGCAGTTCAGCGAAGCCCAGCTTACACTTATTCGAGATATACGCAGGAGAGGCAAGAACAAAGTGGCTGCTCAAAATTGCCGTAAAAGAAAACTGGAAAATATAGTAGAACTGGAGCATGATTTGAGTAACCTAAAAGATGAGAAAGAAAAATTGCTTAAGGAAAAAGGAGAACATGACAGGAGCCTTCATCAAATGAAAAAGCAATTCACCACCTTGTACCTCGAGGTCTTCAGCATGCTACGTGATGAAGACGGAAAGCCTTACTCTCCCAGTGAATATTCACTGCAGCAAACTAGAGATGGCAATGTCTTTCTTGTTCCTAAGAGCAGGCAGTCGGGGACTAAACTTTGAAGGGCAGTACAAAGGTTCCTGTTCTCTGAGTTACTAGTTTTGTATCATTATCATGGTAGTTTTTACTGTGAGGTGGAATGCAGAATTAAGTAATATTTGTCAAGTAAGTCTATGCAATGATAATTTTAAAGTTGTTGATTAGTTTATGGAAAATGCAAGTTGAAAATTAATCAGATAATGCAGATGGGCGTATACAAAATTTTTAATCTGATTTTATAACAGACATTTCCTTCTTATAGCACCACTTTGACTAGTTTCCATATATATGTAAATATTTAAATATACCATATTTATATACTGCTCCTATCTATTGTTATATTCATAGATTTGATATATATATATATATATATTAAAAAATGATTTTAGCCTTCTGAATATAATTTCTTGCAAGACAACCAGGATGGCTTCTTATATTTTTTATAAATATGCAATAGTGTTCCCCATTTTTCTTACACATTTATACTTGCTTTATATTTAATATATTAATTTGGTATAAAAGTTGACACTCAGTGTTTGATTTTGCCTTATCAGCTCATTAAACTTTTTAAACTCTACTTCATACACATTCATTTCCTTAAAGGAGAGAAATCCTTGCTAGTTTTCCAAGGCTAAGTCTTCCTGTAGCATAATTATCAATCACACAGCAGTGTCAGCATTACCAATGCTTCATTCCACTTTGTTTTAATAACCTTTGGAAAGACCATGTAACACAAAGTTTCAAGTCTGTGCTAAGCTCACAGTTTTTGTTTTCCTCCTTGAACACTATGTAAATTCATGAGATCTTTTTTCCAAAGGCATTTAAAATCTGTTAGAACATTGCCATCATTATGGCCTTTTTTGAGCTAAAATTTCTGCAGGCTTTTGAGCAATTCTCCTAGAAATACACTACTGTGCCTCTGACTTCAGTCAATCAGCATCACCTCTCCCTGCTGTTACTTTGATGCTTATGGAAAACTGCATACTAGCAGCCATCCACTTGCCCTGTTTGGAATCTCTGCTCAGTGAATGGAAAAGCTTTGTGGAGTTTAAATTATGATTTATAAAAGAGTAAAAAATGGGTAAATAAATAGCATGGTTTTGTTTACTATTCAAAAGAACTCATTGCACTTGATTGTTTTGGATTTTTTCAATACATAAAATGTATAATTTGTAAGACATGTTGATCTGAACATTAAAAACTATCTTCACCCCTTTCAAGTTCTAAAAGGCATGCTTGATCTGAAGTGATTTTTATTTTGCCATTGATGGGTGGGCACTGGGGGAATGCAAGACACTGCTGCCACTTAAAGCAAGAGGACTAATTTGAAGATGGCAGTTTTGGAGCACAGGCATCAAGAAGCGCACCCAGCCATGGCCCCAGACAGTCAACACTGATACACAGTAACTCTTAAACACAGGCAGGGGCTGATGGCAAAGCACAGAGCACCTAAAACACTCCTGGGTTCCCCTTGCCATTAACTACGCTATCAAATGTCTGTCAGAGAAAATTCTCTCCACAGCTGCACTATAAATACCTTTAATTACAAATTGGCTATAAAAAGACATCTCAGTAAACTCCTGCCCTGCACTCCCATTTGTTCCTTAATTTCACTAATGTGAAAGCCAAAGGCAAACAGCACCCTTACAGCCTTTGCAGGCACTGCTGTATTTGTACCATCCAATTGTCTAAAACAATACAAAGATACTTCTTCCATTACCAAAACAAAAGTACAACAACAAAAAACCTGCAGTTAATGCAGCAGCCTTGTTTGAATTTCATCAGGTGAAGAATCAGTCTAAAGTAACTTGGTCTGTGACAACTTGCATTCAGTTTAAACCAGTGTTCTTCACATCCTCACCACAGTGCATGCTGCTCTCCCATTGAACCCCCCACTATCACTAAGGAAAAAGTTACTCATTACTCATATATATGAAAACATCAGATTGCAAATTATAACCTTCATTTTTACTATTATTACTGAGGTACAGAGTATGCTCCCAAATCTGAGTGACTAGTGACATTGCCAAGTCAAAAGCCTCACACTGCTCTCCTCATACACTGACAAGCTGCCACATGGAGACCATTTGTTTCTTGATCAAAGCATCCCATTTTAAAACGATTAAGAATAAAGCTGAAAAGCTGGCCTGAACCAAGGGGTTTTGGCTTGCCAGTCTCAAGTTGGAAAGATGATCCTGTAAGAAAATGTGTTGCAATAATTCTAGACCACTTAGTGTTCTTCACAGCACTAAAAAAAGGCGATGCCAACGCATTTTAGATTGTAAGTCATTTGACAATACACACTTTATTCTGATACAAAATTGAATTATTTTAACAAATTTTAATCCATTATGGACTATACTGAAATTTTAAATTTCCATGCTATTTTAACTTGTTTACCCACAAGTTTCAAGATGTCAGCACACTAGCACCATTGCTCTCGAAGTCTTTGCCAGTTATACCATTTTATTCTGTTTCCAATCTTGCGGTATTATCTTCTACATGAAGGCCAGTTTTTCTTCTGTGGAGATACTTGGATTACTTTAGTTCAGGAAAAGCTAATAGAGAGAGATGTCAACCTGTAGCACCCACAGCAGAAAAAGAATCATCCATCAGATATGCGAATTTCAGTGATACTCAAGATCTTACATGCTCCACACAATTTTAAGATACACACACTTGTCGGAGACCACAGACTGATTTATGAATATTCCACCTCAGTGTAGACAGTACACGAAAACCACGTTAATGTCTTAAACAAGGAACCAAAGACAGCACATCAGAACATCACACAATTCATGCTTGAAAAGATTAGGAACTTTAAGTATTGAAAAGATATAAAAGTTATGATGCTGTGTTTAATTTTGGTGTTTTGTAATAGCATAGTTACCTCCATCAATCTGGGTTGTTTTTGGGGAAACTCCCTTCTCTACCTGGAAATATCATTTATGTTATCAAGTAAACTTCTGTACAACTGTAGCTAAGGGACCAATGCTTTGTTAGTTTTGCATCTTTACATCCCCATCTCCATTTAAAGCTGTTATTTTCAACAGAAGCCAGATGGCCATGAAATTAAGTTCTTAACTGTTAAAAGTGCCTCTTGGACAGAGATACAATTGACCTAGTACTCCCTTAAGATAGTGTTTATTTTGGTAAGTTATTTCTGAACAGATTTGGCTATAAATAACTGAATTTAAGCAATTAATCTTAACAAGAGTGTTATAATCAAACTGTAACAATAATTCTAACAGTGATTATCTATTTCTGTATGCGGTGCAAAAAGACCCACCCAGAGCACACAAGTCTGCAGCAACGTGGAGTCCTCTCATATTAAAGAAAGGTAGAGCTTTACTCTGTACACAGGCCTAATACCAAGGCAAACTACAAAGTTTCTGTTAAAAATTCATTTTGTATATTTTCAAAATTCTACTGTTAAAAAAATCTAAAGAGCACTGCAGGTGCAAGAGCATTTGTACCTGAGGGGCAGTGCTGTTCCCCATTACCTGTTGCTGCACAGATGCCTGAGGGAGCTCTGCCAAGCAGAGCACACGTTTCCCACTTTTAGGCTTAAGAAAGGAAGCTCATCACCTCAGCAAAAAGCTGGCACATTACACTAAAGGCAATGTGATTGTACTGCAGTTTCAGACTTAGGCTCAACCTTGGCTAAGCACAAACTTGTCTCTGTTTTTTTAAAAGTACATGTAGTTTTTGTGAGATTTTCAATTAAGTAGCTTCTGATTTTATGAAAGTCTCTGTGTGTTACTTCCAAATTAGTTAACTCTGTATTACAAAGTCAGGAATTACTTTCTGGGAGTCTACAGGCAGCAGGTAGAAAGTCTAAGTACTTGAAACAGTTTGTGAACATGCCTCTGTCTCTGATAAGCAGGTTCCATTTGACTACTTTCAGAGCAACTAAAGCATAACCAACACTAGAATATAAATTGTCTTCCTAAGAATGCACAGGCTCAGAAATATATTGGGAAGTTTAAACAGATGCTGAAGTACTTTATAAAAGAACCTGTAACAATCAAAGATGCAGAAAAGGAAATAATACATGTTCCAAGACTTAATACACGTTCCAGTCTGTGTCAAATCAAGACTGCATGAGTTTTGTCATTCCATTTGCCTGTACAAATGCCATTGTGATTTCAGCTGGGTATCATGACAGCATTAGCCTCAAGTACCCTGCCTGAAAGCCCCCAGCATCTGAGAGGGAGCTCTTTGATTTGTACAGGCAAATACAACATCACCTGGTAAGCCAGGATCCACTACCTAGGAGGGAAATCCCAGCTTGCACCAACACCAAGCTCTCTCCCAGAACAGGTGCAAGCAGCAGCAACAGGTCACAGCCTTCCTGGGCTTCTCTGCAGCACCTCTTACCATAAGAAGGCACAGAACAATTTCCCCCACCCCAGCACACTCACCAGTAACCAAAACACATTATTTGAAAACATCAACTTGTCTTGTTGACCTCAGACACGAAGCAATTTTTTATCTGCCAGGAAGATTCTTGAATAGAAAGTGTGCCAGCAAGCAGTGCTCATCCAGAACAGGAAACACTGGATGACATATGCTGAAATATTTGCTGCTAAGTACTTATGGCTTCCCTTGATATTAAAGAGACTGTCAAAGGAAAGCCTAGAAGGAAATAGGGGTTAAACACATTTTACTATACACTACAAATCTTACCCAGTCAGAAACCTTCATTTGAAGAGGATGTGCAAGACATTCCCCATTTTGTCAAGCAGCAGCTTCTCATTCAACCTGAAAATTAAAGAAATTACTCTTACCTTGTTAAAAAACCTCCCACCACTCTTTATAATTCATGAAAAATTTTAAAGGCAAACCTTACCTATGCTCATTGCCCTTCCTTTCAGGTCTAAATGCTAGACCTATTGATTTTGAGTCAACTCAAGTAGCTATCACTCAAGGAGGCTCCAAAAGGTGAAGAACTCTTGCTAGACTTTCTTCGATATTTCAGCTGTGATAAGCAGATTTAACTAGCCTTGGGAAAGCTGCTCACTATCAGCACAGTATCTTATTCCTTCACTTTTCTGGAAGTTGAAGCTGTTGCTCCTGCTGCCTTGTCATTCTTTAATTAGGCTGACTTCTCCATACTCAATAGGCTGCTGAAGTCCTGTCTTACGAGTCTCCTTAGCAATGTATGGATCAAAGAAGTACATCCTAGGTTCTGTAAAGCTGGCGGATCACTGTCCTCATGGCTTACACTTTTCCACGTCACAAACAACAGCTAAGCTACCCCACCCACCTACAAAGCGGTCACTTACATCCATCTCTTAAAAGGTTGCATACAGATCTTGTTCATAAAGTTTATTATGACACTATTTTTCAAAGTTAACATTGTAGTCACAGTACAGCTACAAGAGGCCCTGTTAAAAAGAACACTGTCAATACATTCTAAAAAATTTAGAAATACCAGATCAATTGTCAGAAGGGACATCAACCCCATCCTCCAGTTGTCCCTGCAATCAGATGCAGGCCCCAGGTGCAAGTCTACGCATCTTCTAGCATAGTAATGTACAAAGCAAGTCAGAAGTCAGGTGTCTCACTCCCTAGTGAGTTGTGGTTTAGTTTCCCATGTTTTCAAACTCCAAATGGGTTGTTTAAAAAATGCCTTTATTGAAGTACAGCCTCCCCCCCACCCCAAGCCCAAATGAACACGTACAACAACAGAAGCGTTCACTAAACCACCAATTCTTGCTTTAACTTTTGAGATCTTTCAGAACTCCACAGACAAGAAAAAGCAGACTTTGAAATCCATTTTGGAGGCTACCATCTTGACACTGGTTCCTTGTTTTAGCGTACTGCAGTCTAAATACACTCCAATAACAGCGTTTAAATAACATGTTTAATTTTTTTCAAACAACACACTTATTTTTCTACCACTTCTTAAAAATTATAATTCATTAATATGACTGATTATGCCTTAAGCCATTTCATACATCTTTGCAGATTCATTCCTACACTGGAATTGCATTTACCTTATACTGCACATTGACCCAGAAGTGAAACAGGTGTGAGTAATTCCAATACATATTGCCAAGTGTCTGAGTATTTCTTTTATTGACTGGGTCCCTACTCTTCTGAGTCTTAATTGACAGCAAGCACTGGCCTGGCAATAGTCAAGAGAATTCATATCAGATGAGGACAGCACAGACTGCAGTGCCTTAATTTGGAGGTCAGAAGTGAGAATGAAGTACAATTTCTA